TGTTTTCCTCATTTCTTCTATGTGAGTGCTTGTTTTATAGAAATTTCATCTACCTGAATTAAGACATATAGACTTATGGAGAGTCCAACTTCCCTAAAATTCAATTGATACTCCTTTCAGTACCTTATTGTACAGAGTGGTCATGCATAACATTATCTGCTATTCCTTAACTGATAACCATTTCCATAGGCTGTTTCTAAATATTGGAAACCGTTTCCCTCTGATATTTATATTCAACTCTCAAAGTTTCCAGCCAACACTGGAAAAGAAACTGCCAATAGGTCATTGACATGGAAATAGTGTTTTACCCCATAAAAAGAAATGCTGACAAATTATGATCCTATTTAAGTTACCAGATTGAACTAGCATCTTCAGAAGCGTTCAATTAGCAGCAATTCCTGCTCTTTACAAACCAAGAAACCATGCTTAGAGTGCTGCAACAAGCTAGGTTTTTAAAACACAGTTAAATGTAATAGTTCTGAAGCAGTTAAATTATCAGTTTGAATAAAACAGGAAGCTAACATTTATTTTAAAATTTCCTGATGTACTGTATATGTTTCCACTGGAACACAGGGCAATGGAAATATTACTTGTACAGTCAAAAGGCTTGATTATATCTCGTTACTGAAACAGGTATAATTATCTGAATTCTCACAAAGTTATTTAAGAAGGAGAAATTGTTTTTAGGTTAAAAAAAGGTAGACTCTTAGGTAAAGTTCTATAATAGATAAAATTAGAAAATATATTTCAGCAAATACTTTGCTTTTCACCATGCACACATGTGTCTCTAAATATAGATATACATTTAATTTCTTCTTGAACAATTGTTCTAACTCAATTTTAGATTTTGCATTGCCACTGATTACTTGATTTCATTAGTTAATAAACTGGTATTTTCAGAAGGCCTTTCTAGTCAATTTATCTCATGCTATTCAATTTCTGATTGAAAATATGAGTCGCTCTTCTATATTATAGATACCATGTCTCAAAGATGATACTATTTATGCCCCAGCAGTAGAAATATTAGAAATATTCTAGTGTCATCAAGAATTTTACAGAGTTTTATTCTTGGAGTACCCCCAAAAGCAGCCAATAAGATTTTGCTTACTTGGCATAGGCCTCAGGCTGATATTTGGAAGGAAAAAAACAAAATAAAATGAGGAATGCAATGCAGTGGAAGGAACACAGCTGTCTGAAATCCATTAAGGAGTAATCCACAGTGTAACTTGTTATTGATACAGTTTTTTTATTTATATCCAATTATCCTACAACTTTTTGGCAGACAGTATAATGACACATTTACTAAACTAGACCTACCATAGAATGGAACTTTTAATATCTCTTTCCTGCCATCTAGTGCTCATCCAGATTTCTAAATGTCAGACCTGGCACCTCTTGCCTCATGTCTTACAATTGTTGTTGTTTCCCCCAGAAAGTTCTATTCCTGCAAACCCAGTGGCCATAATAGTCAATGAAAATCTGGAACAGTAATCGCTTTGTCTTTTCTGCAAAAGAATTAGTATCTCAGGTCTTTTTATTGCTATCTAGTAATAATCTGAAGTTTTGCAGACCAGTTATATATAAGCTTAGTAACAATAACAGTAAAATAATAATAGTACTGTACTACGAGGGTGCTATATTTCACATATTACTTGGAATTTATGCAAGGGCTGTAAATGTGATTTTAAAAGTTCTGGCCCATTAACTAGCATAGCCCCTAAAGGGAGAAATAAAGTATCATAATGTGGTTTAGTCTGCATGCCTTACACAAATATTCATTTTTCATCAGTTTATAGTTGTTATTATAGAATAGTTGTAGTTTATTTTTCATCATAATTTTTCTCTTTCTTTCTAGTAGCTTTAATGCACTACTATGATGCATAGTTTTGATCATGACAATTTGCATCCTGTTGAAATGGGGGATGCTGGGCACTTCCCTTCTCATCATTTGGAATCATAAACACATTTTCCTACAAGATTTTATTTGCAAACAAATGTAGTGTGACTATTTATAATTTCAAACTAGCATTAGCATTTGAAAAATAAGGCCTCTCAATGAAAGGAGGCAAAATCATTTTTATATAAAACGATAATGTCTCTTTCGTAAGAAAGTAAGTAACATACCAGGCTGCATTTTTAAAAGATTATTTAGTGGCATTCCAATAATTGGAAAAGGTTTTGCTTTAAGGCATTGTTCATCAACCACCAGCCCTTCAGAGACTACCATACTAAGAATGTCAAGGCAGGAAGAGAGTTTGGAGTTTAAGAATATAAAAATTTCTTCATTGGCTATGATTAAAGATGAGTTGGAGCATCCTCCAAGATTGTGATAAAGAAGTTGGGAAAAAGATTTTATTTCTAATCCAACCCAGATAATTGACAATGATTTAATTAAGCCATAAATTAATTATTAGTTTTGTAGTTTATACTTGGATTACTTTAATCTAGAGCTTTCCATTGCTTTTATACTGAAATGAATAATTAAATTTTAATTCCAGATTATGGTATGAAATTAGAATGATTGTGATATTCTCCATTCTATCATAATAGAATACATCTTAATTAGTTTTCCTTGAATAGATGTAAATTGTAGATAAAGTAATCACAACACATGCACATACTATCTATTGATCTCTCCTGTACTAAATCATAATTTGTTTAATTGGTTTTTTTTAATTTACTGCAGTTGATTTATTGTAGCATCTTTAAATGGCATGGGTGATAATAAAATTATTTTGAGAACCTCCTTTAGCAATGCAGCCTAGAAGTAAGGATAAATTTCTTGACACTGAAAACAATTTATCAGTGGAACAGCTTGCCTCCAGAAGTTGTGGGTCTCCATTACTGAGGTTTTCAAGAAGAGATTGAATTTGTCCGGAATGACATAGTGTCTCCTGTTTGAGCAAAGACCTCCAAGGACCCTTGCAACTCTCTTATTCTGCATTGTATATAATGCTGTATTCAAGCTCATGATTTCATTTTGAGAAGGACTATGAATTGTTTTTTTTTTTAAAAACAGGTTCTTTGCAGTAACAGCCTGCTAGAATCAACAGACTATTGGCTCCAAAATCAGAAGTCACCAAGTCGAATTGGCATCATGGAGGATAAGATGGATAAGAATTGCACTTCTGTAAGTCCTTTGTAGAGGAGGATATGTATAATCATAGCTCTGAAAGGCATTTGTCACAATAAAATTGCATATAAATTAGTTAAAGAAAAATAATGCCTAATGGAATTATGATTATTACTGAAATGAAATGAAATGAAAGTTATTCAATTATATAATTATGGTTTTGTTGTTGGAATTGGCGTCTATGATCTGGCAGTTGTTTTTCCCTTTAGGGAGAAGGAGAACATGGGATTCAGGAGGAAAGAACTATGCATGCCAAAGAAGATAGGACAAACAATTACTGTCATTTCATTTAATATTTTAATTTATGTTCTTAGAAATGAGGCATGGATTTTTTTGGGGTGGGGACAGGAGAATAAAGAAACAGAAAGGTATAGACTTAACCAAAGCAACCAAGAAAAGGTCTTACTTGATACAATGAAGATAAGTGTGGTGTGACTAAGAGGGATATTTAATGATACCGTAGAATCTAGGGTAGTGGTTCTCAACCTGTGGGTCGGGAACCCATTTGGGGTCGAACGACCATTTCACGGGGGTCGCCAAACAACGCAGTCCGCCATTTTTTTCCCCTTTTCCTTAGCTGTGCTACTCCCTTTTATTCTATTGGCTTTTGAAAGCCAATAGAATAGACTCTCTTGAATAGAGTCTAATTCTATTGGCTTTCAAAAGCCAATAGGAATTGTCCAGGCTGTCTCTGCCCTGCTGAGCCCACCAAAAGTCCCATTCTGCAAACGGTGCTGCACCAGTTGAGTAGTCCTCGACTTAGGACCAGTTGAGTAGTCCTCGACTTACGACCGGTTGGGGGTCGCGGCATTAAAAAGGTTGAGAACCACTGATCTAGGGCATAGATGGAACTGCTTACCAAGAGAAACAAAGAGAGCCTTAAAATACAAAGTGTAGAAACAAAAAAAGATCATTGGTTTAGGAGATTTCTAAGCAAATTTATAAATGCTTTTTGAAGTCTATTCTAATTAAGGAATAGAGTATGCATCTAAACTGAAATATTACATTTATTAATTTTGTTCTTAAAATAACTCTGAATTGCCATCAGTATTATTTATAAATATTTTAGAAGAGTCATCTCCAATCTGAAAACTTTCACATGCATGGGATCATAGTACCCATAATTTCAAGCCATATTGGTCAAGATTTAGAGTTTTAAAAATTAGCTTTGCATCTTTTGGTTGTATCCTCTCTGTTCGTTTGAAACCTAAGTTATTATTAGTAATTATATATTTTTAGTGCTAATCTGCTGCTTAGTGCTTAATTTTGAAACACCTTAATTACATTTCACCAAGGAAAAAGAAAAAAATAGTTTCAGGAAGTTAGTGCTATAGCAATAAAAAGCCATGGCTATTTCCTGAGGATAGTTTCTCAGAACTTCACAGTTTTGCAAATAGAAAGCTAATGCTTTGCTTTAAATGATTAGATTCATAGGGTCCTAATGATAGTTAATAATACTGATTACTTCCAAGATAAATGTTCTCTGCTTCAGCTTTGCACATGTCCATTGCTGCAATTTGATCACAGTACTGGTTCATCTGCTTTATGCCTGTCTGTTAATTATTTGCTGCCTAAAAGGGGGAGTCAGGATAATTAACTTACCGTAAATGCCGGCGTACAAGGCGACCCGGCATATAAGACGACCCCCGTCTTTATAGCTGGGCCGCATTCCTAGAACGTCGTCTTATACGCTGGAAACTACCAGTATTTCCGGCGTATAAGACGACTCGGCGTATAAGACGACCCCCATCTTTGGCGCCGATTTCAGCGCTCACGGAAGTCGCCTTATACGCCGGCATTTACGGTATGTAAAAAAAAACGTATCTGATTTTCCCAACCTGATGATATAGTACATAGCATAAATTATGGAATGAGTATATAATTTCCTTATTTTATATATTCATTACATTTTTCTTCTGGGACCTCAAAATAACACACTAGGGTTTCCTTCCTTATTTTGTTATCACAATAACCCTGTGAGCTAAGTTGGCATGAAAGATGATGATTGGTCTAAACCAGTCAAACTGCCGGCCCATGGGCCGGATGTGTCATGCCAAAACCGCACCCACACCATTGCTGGCAATGGGGAAAAGTCCCAATATGTCGCGTGACGTCACGTGATGTCGCGAGTTTGGTTTGGTCTAAACTTATCCTATTCATGGTCAACTGACTTATTTTATTTATTCTATGCCATTGAAAATAAATCCCAAGTTTACTTATACAAGAAATATAAATACATTGTTCTTTCATGTCATGTTTTTTACCCCAGTCATTTTGCAGCTGAAAGTCTATTTGTTCTCTCCATTTTAGACATTGTAGAGTGGATAGAACCAATCCTTATTCTTGCTCTCTTTTGACTATGGCTCCTACTTAAGGATAGATCATTACTCAGTTTTAATAAAATTATGAAGACAAAGAGTTGACCTCTGTTACCCATATGCATGGTGTCATTTTGCATGTTAAAGGACATGCAGTTGCAGCAGCTAAAATAGCATCTTTAGAAGGAGGTAGTCAGATACAGTTACACAGAGCATTCTGAATAGTTTCATTGACTTTATATAATGGAATTGTTTCTGGAAACTCTGTAAAAATTCCAACTGATATATAAATTTATCCTCAGAAAATATTTTAACAATTTAAAGAAATATCCATATAAATAAAAATCTCAAACCTCACTAACAATGAAAATAATTTTAGTGGTTGTCCATCTTTGAGTTATACTACAATAACTGGGTATTTAGAAAAGCTATAAGTAGTGGTATCCAGCAGGCCATTTGGTTGCTGTGTGTTTGGTGGGGATTTGTAGTTATCATTTTACAAACATGATATACAGTATCTGTGATCTTTTTGAAATGGAATGCCAGGGAGAATTTAATTTAGCTTTTACCTGTGCAATGTTATGATTTGGTGCTATTTTGAATCAAAAAACTCAGTGGGGCCAAAATTATTTCAGGTATAAACAAGAAGTGCCCTGCTAATTCTTAACATATGCTACCAAAGGAAGCAGATGGCAAGCATGACATGAATATTTATTGGCATATTTTTCTTAAGGATTTGTCAGAAGTGACAATTAATTACATTAGAACCAAAAAGTAGTCACCTTTCATTACAACAAAAGATTCATAATTATTTCTAAATGCTATGAAATATGCATAAAAGGTTCTGTATGACCATGCCAAGTATTTATATGAAGAACAACTTGTAATATATTTATAAATTTACTGGGACATTTTTGAGATCGCATGATGGTGTAGAAACAAAAAGATAAAGTTAAGGTGAAAGCTAAATTTAATTGTTTTGATTTATATTTAAGTTAAAGGAATTTAAGTCAATGCAATTAATATTACAATTCCCTATTTATTCAATGATTCCCCTGTTCTGTGACATTTTAATTTGCAGTTTTGTGCCATATATTCTAGTGATTATATCCAGTAATTTTGGAAGTCACTATGTATCAACCAATCCATTATGGCATGTTTAACAAGCCATGATTCAAATAATTTTGGGGTAGGGTGAAGCAGAAAACTGAGGTCTGAATGAAGCAGCACTGCTTTGCAGAACTACCTTCACTTCTCTTGAAGGAGAATACAATTTGTGGCAGCATTTTGACTTGAAAAAGGCATCAATCTTGATGCTTATAATTAACTCATTGAAGCATGCAGCTCCATCATTCCTGGCTGCTTTGCTTTAGCTGAAGTCCTTTATCACAGCTTGCCCATGCCCAGCCTTTGGAAGACCAACTGAGTTGAAAGGTACCTTAACTGAGCCTTCAGCTGAAGAGAAATATCTTTTTGAGACTTCAGGTAGTTCCTCAACGCCTGAAGAGAAGGGATGCTCCTCTTCATAGGAGGACATAGGTTTTAGAATGGACAAGTGTTGGGCAAATGAGTGAGCATGACAATTTCAGAATCATTACTGGAAACAGAAGAACTACTTAAAGTGACTAATTCTCTGCCTTCTGCTGAACAATAGGTTATTTTGTCAACTACCATCTGAATGTCAAGTGTTTCAAACAGAAAGTTATTTTGCTGCAGGTAGAAATGTTTTTATTTTTCTAGGTTCTGCATTTTAATGAGCCTAACCCAAAGGGAGAAATATAACAATCCAGAAATAGAGGTGAGGGAGAATTCCTTCATTTATGCTGCCCAAGTTATTTTCTAAGTAATGTTGAAAATCAGCTTTTTTTTAACACCCTTTTGAATTGAATGAATAAGATCTGTAAAATTCATTGCTAGAGGTTTTTCTATGTTTTATACCTCACTTTAGATTAATGTTTTTTTTCCTGATGTTTTTTTTTTTGCCTTCTTGAATCTAAATCTGAATTAATTATGGAAAACACCTGAAGTATGGTTGTTAATTGCCTTCAAGTATAGATGATTTTGCTTTTAAAACTTTAGTTTACTATGTTTTTTTTTTCTTTACTCCAAGGGTAAGTAATCTTTATAACTCTGAAGGCTATTAGTAGTTCTGAATGGTGCATCAAAGCCATATGTGTTTGTTTGTGTGTGTGCGTTCCTTTACAATTTAATACTTGGTGAGCAGTAAAATTCCACAATACATATCCACAGTTCCTGAAAAATAGTCAAATTCCAAAGTTTTGATACTAATTCAAAATTACAGTAACATCTTTAACATGTGAAGGTTTTCCCACAAATATGCTAATATATATTAATTTACTATACTAATTGGAAAAGTGATATTATTCTAGAGGTCAGGGAATGGTTGTCAGAAATGTCTATCTGTTCTGGAAGAGGCAATACTTTCTATCAAAGGATGCAGCAATATGTGTTATTATGGCAGAGATTCTGTGATGCCTTACAATAATTTCATGCATTGTTCATATTATAGTAGTGAATTGGTAAACCAATGACTGTTGATAAGTATAAAATATAAGATTTTATTTCAGTTCCTTCTTAGTTTGTATCTTTTCATTTGCATTTTTACTTTAAAGGTTTAAGTTTAAAGATTGTTTTTTGGGGGGAAAACAATAATTTTAAAATATATTTTCATTTTCTTTATTAATCTGTGCTGCAGAAATTCTGATCACTATTAGATAGCACCAAAGAGATACAGAAAATTCTTTTTTTTTCTGTCATAGTATGATTACGTGCATTTTTATAGCACAGATTTGGTAGGCCAACTTTTAAATAAAAAGAAATTAAATACAAAGCTGACATGCTGCCAAGCAGGACACAGCTTTAGCATAGTTATTTACGGAAACGCCTTGGGGCCCCTTAAAGGTCCCATTAATATAAGCGAGAGTATCTAGAGTGCCTCCTGTTAAATGGATAGTTTGTGATGGGCCATGCCACTGAGCAGTCATTCTGTTAATAGTAAATTCTCCCATGGCAGTTTTCTTTTAAGAGCATCCAACAGATGTTCTTAAAATTCCTAATTGCTCCAGGCCTAAATGTATGAAGATAACCAGTGTTTCTGAAATTTCATATTGCAGTTATCATTTTTTTTATTTCTTAAAGTTTCAGATTTCTTTCTCCATCCTTTCTGTAACTACTTCTTACTAAGTGAATTAATTTTCAATAGAACTATATGCTATTTTTAAAATCTTGCTAACCAAGTTTCACCCAAGTTAAGACTTGACAGGTGTCTACCTTGCCTCAAATCCAAATGCTGATGAACAATGCCTCTCATGATTCAGCTATTCTCTGTTAAAGAATCTCAGTGTAGTTTGCTTCAAGGTTTGGGCATTATGTTTCATGGCAGCTGTGTGGAATAAGAAGTATAATGGTGATATAACTCACCCCCAACATATAGCTGGGAAGATGGGCTGATGACATTCTTACCATGTTATTTAGGTAGGGAAGTGAATAAGAATAAGGGAGTTCTCAACTTATTTAGAAGGGCATCTGGTTGAGCTCCATCCAACAGCCCCAACTCTATCCCAAAGTAAGGGATTGCTTTTATCTGTTGTGAATATCCAAAATTGTTTAAATGAGATAAGTGGCCATATGGCAGGGGTCCTCAACCTTGGCAACTTTAAGAGTTGTGGACTTCAACTCCCAGAATTCCACAACTCTTAAAGTTGCCAAGGTTGAGGACCCCTGCCATATATATTGAAATAATAATAACAACAACAACTACTACTTGTTACTGCACTGATTATTCTGTCAACAATACTGAATATGTTAGCCCATGACTATCAAATATCAAAAACATCTGCCAGGTTATCCCACTTTCTTTACATGAATGATTTAGGTTGATTGGGGGGGGGGAATCTGAAATAGAATCGCTGCTCAACACTGTCTGTACACACAGTCAAAATACTGCGGGGGAGTTTAGACTAAACAAATGTGCCATTTTCATCATTGACAGAGGAAAAATAATGAAAATTGAAGGAATCAATATGCCTTATGAAATAATATCAAGAATCTGAATGAATATGAACATTACAAATACCTGGGCATCTTCAAACTGACAACATCGAGCACACTGAAGTCAAGAAGAAAGATCTTAAAGTCCAAGCTCAATTTGGAAATACTATCAAGGCAAATAACACCTGGGCAATTCCAGTGAATATATGCACAGCTGGAATAGTGGATTGGACCCAAGTTGAATAATAGGATAGGAAGACTAGTAAATAATGACAATGAATCATGCCCTTCATCCATGCAGGTATATTGATAGACTGTACTTACCAAGGAAATAGGTGCACCAGACAGTTGAACAAGAAAAAAAGAGCAGTGGAAGAATATCTGGATGGTGAACAAGATGAAACCACTAAACCAGGAAAGCTTACTGAGTGCTGGAGTGCTGGAGAGAATATATATATGTAGGTCATTGGTTGTTCGGGTTTTCTCCCGCGTAAAATTGGAAGTGTCTTGGCGACGTTTCGATGAAGTCCCATTCGTCATCTTCAGGCTGGTGTTTTCAGCTTTGTGCTTCGAGCAGCAATGTGTGGTCTTAGCTGTTTCTTCCTTTTAACTGCCAGTGGGGGTATGAACTGATTGGGTGGGAGCTTGGCTGTGTTCTGATTGGGTGGAGGTGTGTTCTGATTGGTTAGGGGCTGGCTGTGCTCTGATTGGCTGGGGGTTGGCTGTGCTCTGATTGGCTGGGGGGTTGGCTGTGCTCTGATTGGCTGGGGGAGTGTTCTGTTTGGTTGTGCTCAGGTTAGTCTGAGTTGCAGAGGGGTTTAAGATTTTGGGCTGCCTTGCTATTTTTTGGCTTCGCGTTCGTGGTCGTGCCTCCTCTTCATGGAGGGTGTCAGTTTGCTTCATGTATGGATTGGAGGGGTTTAAAGTGGCTAATGATGCAGCTGTGGTCTGGCTTCTGGTTTGTGGTCGTGCCTCATCATCGGTGTGGCTTTGGGTTTGTTTTTTGTGTGGATGTGTGGTGGTGACATCCTGTGTGGTTTTTGTGAGTGTGGGTCTGGTATCATTTTTTGTGTTAGGGAGTCGTTTGTCAATAAGGGCGGGTTTCCAAATGGCTGGTAGGCGGGAGGTATCATCTCGCTTGTTCATGCTGTGTGGGCGTTTTTCTATCTCGATGGCTTCTCTGATTATTCTGTTATTAAAATGTTCACTTTTGGCAATGGTTCTGGTATTTTTAAAGTCAATTTCATGTCCTGTGGCTTTAAGGTGTTGGACCAGGGAAGATGTTGGTTCCTCTTTTTTGACTGAGTTCTTATGTTCTTCAATGCGTGCACTTATTCTTCTGTTGGTTTGTCCGATGTATGTGGTGGGACAAGTGGTGCATGGGATTTCGTATACTCCTTGATTTTCTAATTCAATTTTATCTTTGGGGTTTCTAAGGATGGTGGATATTTTTCTGTTTGTGCAGAATGCTGTTTTGATGTTGTGTTTATGGAGGATCTTACTGATTCTGTCTGTGGTGCCTTTTATGTATGGGAGGAGGGCTTTGCCGTTTTCTTGTTCTTTGTCTTGGATTTTAGTGGGGGTTTCTTTTTGGATTAGGTTTGTAATCTTATTTCTATGGAATCCATTGGATGTTAGTACATTGGTGAGAGTGTGTAGTTCGGGTTTTAGGTGTTGTTCGTCAGCTAAGCGTTTTGTTCTGGAGATGAGTGTCTTGGCTACAGAGTTGATCTGTGCTGGGTGGTGGTGTGAGAGAGCGTGCAGATAGCGGTTTGTGTGTGTTTTCTTCTGGTAGATGGTGTGTCCTGCCTGTATCAGCTCAATCTAGAGCCATCCACAAGCCATCCACAATCTCCTCCCCCTGTCTCTCTCCTGATAGCTAACAGAGTGGGAGAGAACCTGTGGCTTAGAGGTTATAACAACTGCCTAACATGCAGATAAGTCCAGGTTCGAATCTCAGAAGAGTAAGTCTGGCTGAAGAGAGTTAATGGAACTCGAAATAGCTATACCAGTTCTCTCTTTATTCTTTGTTAGCAACCTAAAAATGTAAAATGATGTCGCAGTTGGCGACTGCTGCTTGTGGATGGCTCTAGATTGAGCTGATACAGGAAAAAGAAAAAGAAAAAGAAAGAAGATTTCTTTCTCCCATATTTGGGCTGACAGGGTGTACATTCAAGATATATATATATATATATATATATATATATATATATATATATATGTATGTGTGTGTGTGTGTGTGTGTGTGTGTGTGTGTGTGTGTCTTTGGTGTTCGGGTTTTCTCCTGCGTAAAATTGGAAGTGTCTTGGCGAACGTCATTCGTGTTTCAGCTTCGTTGCTTTGAGCAGCAATGTGTGGTCTTAGCTGTTTCTTCCTTTTAACTGCCAGTGGGGGTATGAACTGATTGGGTGGGAGCTTGGCTGTGTTCTGATTGGGTGGAGGTGTGTTCTGAATGGTTAGGGGCTTGGCTGTGCTCTGATTGGCTGGGGGAGTGTTCTGTTTGGTTGTGCTCAGGTTAGTCTGAGTTGCAGAGGGGTTTAAGATTTTGGGGTTAGGGAGTCGTTTGTCAATAAGGGCGGGTTTCCAAATGGCTGGTAGGCGGGAGGTATCATCTCGCTTGTTCATGCTGTGTGGGCGTTTTTCTATCTCGATGGCTTCTCTGATTATTCTGTTATTAAAATGTTCACTTTGGGCAATGGTTCTGGTATTTTTAAAGTCAATTTCATGTCCTGTGGCTTTAAGGTGTTGGACCAGGGAAGATCTTCCACCACCACCCAGCACAGATCAACTCTGTAGCCAAGACACTCATCTCCAGAACAAAACGCTTAGCTGACGAACAACACCTAAAACCCGAACTACACACTCTCACCAATGTACTAACATCCAATGGATTCCATAGAAATAAGATTACAAACCTAATCCAAAAAGAAACCCCCACTAAAATCCAAGACAAAGAACAAGAAAACGGCAAAGCCCTCCTCCCATACATAAAAGGCACCACAGACAGAATCAGTAAGATCCTCCATAAACACAACATCAAAACAGCATTCTGCACAAACAGAAAAATATCCACCATCCTTAGAAACCCCAAAGATAAAATTGAATTAGAAAATCAAGGAGTATACGAAATCCCATGCACCACTTGTCCCACCACATACATCGGACAAACCAACAGAAGAATAAGTGCACGCATTGAAGAACATAAGAACTCAGTCAAAAAAGAGGAACCAACATCTTCCCTGGTCCAACACCTTAAAGCCACAGGACATGAAATTGACTTTAAAAATACCAGAACCATTGCCAAAAGTGAACATTTTAATAACAGAATAATCAGAGAAGCCATCGAGATAGAAAAACGCCCACACAGCATGAACAAGAGAGATGATACCTCCCGCCTACCAGCCATTTGGAAACCCGCCCTCATTGACAAACGACTCCCTAACACAAAAAATGATACCAGACCCACACTCACAAAAACCACACAGGAGGTCACCACCAAACATCCACGCAAAAAACAAACCCAAAGCCACACTGACTATGAGGCACGACCACAAACCAGAAGCCAGACCACAGCTGCATCATTAGCCACTTTAAACCCCCCCAATCCATACATGAAGCAAACTGACACCCTCCATGAAGAGGAAGCACGACCACGAACGCGAAGCCAAGGAATGGCAGGGCAGCCCAAAATCTTGAATCCCTCTGCAACTCAGACTAACCTGAGCACAACCAAACAGAACACTCCCCCAGCCAATCAGAGCACAGCCAATCAGAGCACAGCCAACCCCCCAGCCAATCAGAGCACAGCCAAGCCCCTAACCAATCAAAACACACCTCCACCCAATCAGAACACAGCCAAGCTCCCACCAATCAGTTCATACCTCCACTGGCAGTTAAAAGGAAGAAACAGCCAAGACCACACACTGCAGCTCGAGGCACGAAGCTGAAAGCACCAGCCTGAAGATGACGAATGGGACTTCGTCGAAACGTCGCCAAGACACTTCCAATTTTACGTGGGAGAAAACCCGAACAACCAAAGACCTACATACAAATACCCGCGAAAACCTCAGAAAACAAATATATATATATATATATATATATATATATATATATATATATATATATATATATATAAGCATGCAAAGCAGATAACAAGACCTGCCAAGGCTAAGAGAAAGAAGCTTGAAGAAAGAAGAGACAGGGGGGCTAATACTGGTTGCACAAGACCAAGCTTTAAGAATAAAGGGAAGTAAAAGCAGAATTGAGAAGAGAACAACATATTGCAAATGTTGCCTGTGCAAAGAAGCTGAAGAAACAATGGACGATCCAATTAGCTACTGCAAGAAGATTGCGCAGTGACCAAAACTAATGTCATGACAAAGTAGTAATAATGGTACACTGGAATATCTTGAAGATCTACCATTTGCTTGCAAGTAAGAATTAGTGTAATCACAAAATAGTCAAAGTCAACTAATGCTCTTCAAATGAATCGAATATTGTCACCAGCATTCCAACTAGCAGGTTTATGTCTGACACCTGTGGAGAATTGATGAAGGCTTACGTAGTGCTTCACTAGATTGCTCAATAAATGATAGGCATTAATTTGCAATGAAATGATTATTATTGCTGTCTTACCGTTGGTATATTATAGCTGTGTTTCACAGTAGCTGAAGACCCACAGGAAAATGTTCTGACTTAGCAGGTATTTCAGTCTAACATTTCTGACATATTGACATTTTGCAGTTTTTAAAATGTAGGTGTTTAGAAAGGAATACTGTAAAAACAAAACCATGTCTAACAAAACAGTATTCAGAAAACAAATTATTTTAACCTTAGTCCAGTAGAAAAAGTAATTTATACAGCCATGTCAAGAATAATGTGTGAAATGTTCACATATCGTATTCATACAAGGCAATAATATTTCATATCTTATTTTGCACATCATTGTTCCTATAAATAAATTCAGGTCTACCGCTTGCAAAACAGTTTTCTCTAGCCTGATGCTGTACAGAATTCCCAGCAGGTATAAAATTATTCCTCACTGATTAAACATCTGCTGATGTATGTGGGTGGTCTCTCTTCGGTTCAGGTAAGAAAGAAAACAATTGCCTAAGAAACGTAGAGGAGCACCGACAGAACTGAGTTAATGGGACCATTTGTCAAAGGTACTTTTTCATAACTAGAAAAAAATTTTAGCTCTCCCCTTTCTTTACAGATTTATGATCCATACTGAACCCTCAAAGTAAGTATTCATATAAATAAACAATAGTAATAAATGTCAAATTTATGCTAAGTGTATATTAAAGTCAGGACTTAGGCTAATAAAAAGTATGTATTAATGTTCAGCTAAACCTCTCTTTCCCAGAATTATACAGTGGCATTTAGGATTTCATGAGGGTATATTTAAATTGCCATATTAATTGAATTGATGACTCCAGTTGAAGTGAACAAGTTGACAAGTGCTGATGATTCACAAGTCACATAAGATGGCCACAGAAGTCTCAAAGAAAATGGTGCTATTTTTACAGATTTTTAATATCATATATGTTAAAAATAGGCAGGAAGTGATAAAATAAGAATTATTGTCACAACAATGTCTACTTTAACTAACAAGGGCAGACAATTCTATAGGCAGATGCTGTAAGGATAGGTATTTCAGTGCTTTTTTACCTTTTTTATTTCTTTTCTTTAGTTTAATGGCACAATCCATACATATTTGTTCTCCCATACTAAATTGCAGGGATGAGAGTACTAGGGTTTGCACTATATGATTTCAGAATGCCAACAGAATACAATTTTTAAAATTCCCATGGACAGGAATAAAACTGTAGCAACAACTTCCAAAATAAACAATACTGCAAAGAGAAAAATTCTCCATTAGCCCTCAATTTATTGTCCTAGTTTACAAGATACAACAGTTTTGTGTTGATTTGATAAAATGGAAGGTAATGGTCTTCCATTTGGAGTCCAAAGCAGTATCCTTTAGATACATTTTTCTGATGCATTGCATGCATAATAGGCTTGATTTCATTCTGCAGGTTTCTGTTCCTGAACAGTCCTCATTATTTAGAAGTTTAAAAAAAATCAGATTTTAGTTGCCTAAAAAAAGGAGAGCAAACATCAAAAGACAAAATATATTTTAAAATATTGAAAGACACACTGTATTGACAAAGCACTGAAATTAAAGTCAGTATAATAGAGAACAAAAAAGAACTAGTTTAAGGCATCAGCCTAGAAACCAGAAGACTGAGTTCCAGTCTTGTCTTAGGCATGATCGTAGCTGGGTAAGGAAGGAGCAATGAGAAACCACTTCTGAAAAACCTTGCCAAGAAAACACTTGGGAATTGTCCAGGCAATCAGGATTCAAGACTGACTCAAAGGCAGCTGCCTCCCCACCCCCAAATAAATGGAGAACAAAAAAAAGGCACACTAGAACAAGTGGTTATTTCAGGAACGTATGGTGATATACCATATATTCTGGCATATAAGAAGACTTTTGAGAGCATCGAAACAGCCTCCGAACTTGGGGGTCATACGCTGAGTTGTCTTATACGCCAGAAATAAGGTAGTTTCTGGAATATAAGACGACTTTCTAGGCATGCGACTCGGTGTCAATAACATAGTTTCCAGCGTATAAGACAACTTTCTAGGCATGTGACTCGGCATCGATCGTCTTATATGTCAGAGATATCGGTAGTTTCCGGCATATAAGACGACTTTCTATGCATGCGACTCGGCGTCGATTGTCTTGCGACTCGGCATCGATCGTCTTGCGACCCAGCGTCGAACTAGGGGGTCGTCTTATACGCCGGGTCACCCTATACGCCGGAATATATGGTATTTGTGATCTTAAGGACAGAGGTAATATTTTATATATTGATCTTCAATATTTCAGTGCAAAAATACTTGTATAAAATTAGTATGACTTATTGGAGGAGAATCATGTTGATTTATGATAGTCAAAAATCAAGAGCCCAGTAGCATTTTTTCAACTTTGTTTTTTAAAAGCATAAGCTTTTGAGAGCTGCAACTCAGTTCATCAGATTAACAGAGAAGCTAGATTGATGCAGGATATAATTTGGGATGACAGTGGGAAAAGACGGGGGGGGGAGTGTTAAATAAATGCAGGTTACATGTGAGACAGATTTTGAATATCTTATTAAATAGCAATTGTACTGTATTAAAACATTGTATTTATTAAGGTTTTCTGAGTTTGGCTGAATCCTTTCGATGTATGTAAGTTCAACAGTTTCTTGTTTAAATGAGCTAGCTAGTTCTGCTACTGTGAGATCTGTAAAAGAGCATCCAAAGATGTTAAAATGTTCTGCTATTGTTTTATCCTTATTCTGAGTCTTAATGTTGAAATTATGGCCATTTATTCTTTTGCACAAAATCCAGCTTCTGTGTTCTATGCAGAATCCAGAGGAGCAGTGCTGGCAAATGATGACATTTGCCACATTGGAAGAAGAGCATATGAAAGTACTACTAATGTTACAAAATTATAGGGCCTGTAATGGCGATGTTGGGGTAAATGTGGGCAAAGAAGACATGCTGATTTGTTGCCGGGTTTAGTTTTCCTATCAGCATCACTGGTTGGATGCTTGTTTATATGCAATATGTGCCTGCCACCCAGTCCTGAGAAAGTATAGTGTCATTGTCTGGTATGTCAGGTAGCTTATTAGTTATGTGTTCGAGTGAACTAAGCCAGGGCTTTTCAACCTTTTCACCCATTGTACCACTTTTAGGATATGGCAATATCTGAGTACCACTAGTCACCTAGCAAGGTGTCAAAAACTTGATGACCAAAAAAAAAAAAAAGGAAAAAAGTGATAAAGTACAGGTAGTCCTCGACTTACAATAGTTCGCTTAGTGACTGTTCAAAGTTACAATGGCACTGAAAAAAGTGCCCCCCAAGCCACAGCCAAGCAAGACACCTATCTGCCCACCCGGCGGCACTCTTCCTCCTGTCCGAGATTTTCATTGTTGTGAGCATTTCTGTTGAGGATTGGCAGCTGAGGTGGGGTGGGGTGTTTGGTTTTTATTCCCCTCATTTGCTGGGTGGTTGCAGCAGGTTTTGGTTGCTTCACATGACCCTGGGACACTGTGACCATTATAAATATAAATCAGTTGCCAAGCATCTGAATGTAAATCACAAGACCCTGGAGATGCTGCAACAGTCCAGCTAATTGGCACTTCTTTGGGGCTCAGCAGGAGTTCCAGGATCAGTGTTGCTTTCCAGCTGATTGGTGCTTCTTCAGGGCTCAGCAGAAGCATCAGGATCAGCACCGAGCTCCAACTGGAGCCTGGCGCCGATCCTGGCACTTCCACTGAGTGTTGATCCATGGTTGTGACAGGAATTGACTGACCAGCTTTCATGCCTAAGGCAGGATAAGACTCCCTTTATGTAACTGATATCTTAGCCACTAGATCAAGTTGGCTCTTTGGCTTGAACTGTAAATCTGAGCTCTAAATGACAATTTAAAAAATAGTCTGAAAGGTGCTACCCAGTTAAAGTAACCTGGGATTCTTCAGTATTTTTTTATAGTGGATATATTTGTCAGTCATACTATCTTTTGATAACACTAATACCAAGAAATTTAACTTTCAGATGGCTTATTATCAAAAATCTAGTAGCTAACAACAACAATAGAAAAATCTTACATTATTTTTATGTGTTGAGGAAAATGGAGAATAGATAGTACATTAAGGGTCTCTTTAGGAAAAAAAATCCAGTTTCAAAGACAATGACAGCAATTGTTGACTCCTTTTTCAGATTTTTAAATAACTAGTGACAATATTGTGTATGTTTGCAAGACCCCACATAGGTATGCAAATATATACTAAGAAAATTGAAGGTGATGAAACTAAATACAGATAAGCTTATTAAAAAAATCCATAATTTTATTTAGCCATCTTGTGATATTTACTCACTGCTTCAGTGGCTGAAACAAACAAACAAAAAAACCTTTGGAATTGGGGCTCTAAATACATACACACAAACATACACACACTACATATTACAAAGAGAGAGAAACATTTAATTTTTTTTTTTTTGCAAATACCAAGTAAAGACCCTCTTCCATCCATCCAACTATGAATATCGGTTTGTCTGTGTGTGCGCTGGCATGTGTTTATTGTTACAGTGACTCATTACATTTAATTGTCACAGCTGGAAGTACCATAAAATTGTGCATAGTTAACAGCAGGAAAGTGTTTTAAATCACAGGAAATCCAAGGGTAAATCTTTAGAATTTTAAATAATTAAACCAGTCAATACAGTCATACATAAATGCTTACAATAGTGCTCTTAAAAAAAAGACATGATTTTGGCAGTAAGAAATATAATTCTATTACTTGTTTAAATTGACCAATAACTCTGAAATAAAATATCCGACAGAATAAAATTCTGTCAAATACTATGATAAGAAACATGCATACTCTTTGGGAATTATTATTGGGACTGTCCATTTTTAAATGTTATGTCATACAGTTATATTATGAACAGTCTAATATAGTGTTATATTTATTTGTATTTGTTCATAATTTAGAGTTTAAAGGCTGCACAATTCAATAGTGACTCATATAATATTATTAATTCACTATAGTCTAATAATTTATAATAGCAAACAGGTCAGATAACCACAGAGGTCATTCTGATAAAATTGTTCCAAATAAATGAGAAGTCATTACATTTTCACATACAGTCTTATATGTAATCATATAAATTTATTTTTTTTTTTTGCTTATTTATTTAGCAAATGTATACAGCTGTCAATGTCACAAAAAGTGATTCTGGGTAGTTTACAAGCAGAATAAAAGGCCTTCCTGGCCATATCTGACATCTGCTCTTCAAGCAAGAGCTACAATCCAGGAAGACCCCCAGATTGTATACCAGTCTTGAAAGGAGAAGTGCTATGCATCCCTGCTTAAAGATGCAGTAGCCCAGATCTGGCTGGCCAAATACCCACAGTTACTCAGCCTTGGTAGGATTGAGTTGGAGACAGTTCCTCCCCATCCAAACAGAACAGCTTTCGGATACTATGACAGAACCATGACAGTTTCACTTAGATGTTTTGTAATTGGAAGATATAATTATTATCATCAGCCTCTTGATGACACCGAACTCCAAACTAGGAGATGACCTCAGCAGCAGATTCAGGTAAAAGTTGAAAAGGAATGGACAAAGAATAGAATCCTGCAGCACCCCCCACATACTGGACCACTGCAATTCCTCATTGAATGTTCTTGCCAATAGTAGAGAATCTATATCAACAGGATTGAACTGTTGGGTTCTGCTGTTGTCAGAACTTGTTTGTTTTCTTTGTGATGTCAAAATCCACTGTCCTGGGCACTGATTATATTATCTAGCCTGCTAATAAAATACTGTATCTGTCAGAAAACAGCCAAATGATGTGTTCTTTATTAAGCTAGACTGGAGGGTCATCATCTTTAGGAGGTGGATTGGAATCTGAATTCATCTCCAGGGTAACATAAAAAGGCTTTTTTCTGAATTTACTGAGAAATGAAGAGGAGATATTTGAAAGTTCAGCTGGAAATCTGCCAGAAACTTGTTTGTTGAAGGGCTATCTGACAAACAGAAGTTTGGTATCAATCATCAGTGACTGATATAGCCAAGTTCTGTCAAAGGGCGGTAAGGCAGCAGACTGGTGCTATTGCTTTTCTTAGTAATTTCGACAAAGCATAAATGCAATTTATTTTATATGACAGGTGTCTGCTCAGCATTTTGATGCCCCTCAGAAGAATTGGAACTGGTCAATAGATTGAGAGAGCAGATAACTACTTTGCTGAGGATATCATTTTTTTGCATTAGGATGCCTCTTACAGTATTAAAAACAAGGCATAGAGTTTCATTTCAGAAATGAAAAGCTGAAGCTAAATTTGAGAAAAGTTGGCCTTTTGCCCTTAACTTTATGAATTCTAGAGCTCTATTTTGCTTCTTTCCAAAGTAATATAATATAGAACAATATTTTCATTCCCAGCCTTTAGCTGACTCTAGTGTTTGCAAAAGTTGTTCATCCAAATGCTAAAAGCACTCAAGGGAGCGAAGATTTTGAGCTCCTCATGACCCATCATAATACTGTGGGGAAAAATTTATTTGAAATTATGAAGGCATAACAATCCCCTCCATAATGCATCTTAATTTACTTCCAATCTGACCAAAAAAACTGAAATGTGAATATGATTTGATAAATAGGGCATGTAAACAGGGCTGGTGCAATGGAAAGCAATGTGGCATAGACCAATGCAAGTATACCAAACTTGCAGTTTGACTTCACAAATAGATTGACTACTAACAAGAAGTTGTGGTAGATTTGTGTGTTAGATTCAGATTATGCCAGTTGAGTAGAAAAGTTATGGTTGGAACAAAATCCTCCTAATTTTCTATTATGTGTCCCACTTCCTCCAAAAAATCACTTTCCTTCAGTAAAAAATGATTTTTTTTTAATCTGAAAGAAACATGCTTATAGTGGGGAAAACTGTATGAGAAAAAAAGCACAGGATGGATAGTGAAATACAGAAAAGATAGACTGATGTCTTATATGCAGTGGTTCTCAACTTTTTCTTCACCATTTACCCCCTTTAAATACCTTTTGTGGCCACAGACCATAGCCATGGACCACCAAGACTTAAGACTTAATTAATAAAATTTCTTCAAGCCTTCACAGACCCCCTGTGATAACATTGCGGCCCCCAAGCATAAATTTACATGGTTGAAATAACAATCACCATCCAAGCGACTTATTTTAAGATTTATTTATTTAAATATATGTCTAGAACAATGCAAAGACAACATTTTAAAATAAAATAATATATTATCTTTTCTTGAATTTTCCTTTCTGGGTTCAATTTGTCAATATATTATATCTGGTTGCCACAGCCACTGCATTTTTTTTTACATGGAATCAATGCATATTACTGTACATAGGCATAAATGAAAACCAGATAAATATAAAACCTTAAACTGAATTGTGCTATTGTGTTATGACACATTGCTGATACTGTATTTGTTCTACAGCCATTTCTCCCTAGTGACTCTCATACATGCTTAAAGCAAGCTTTTTTATGACTTTAATTTCGGTCCCAAATCAACAAAAAAAAAAACAAATTGTGATTTGTTTAAAAGAGATATAGTTGTCTGTTTTTTTTATGAATACCAGAGAACATTATCATAATGTTATAAAATGGCATTTGCTGAAATGGCTTTCAGATTCTTCACAGTCCTATACTGCTATAGCTAGCTTCATTACTTCTATTTGATCAGTCTGTATTTTATAAATAAATAAATCCTTTATTATCAAAGTATAACATGTATACAGTGAAATTGGCTAGCCTCCCTCTGTGCCTCCCCCTCACCTCACGGTGTCTACAACCCCCCAACTTATTTCACCCTGTGAACTAATTGCACATCACGCCGGCCTCACGAGTCTGTCATGCATAAAGTTACAAAGTTATATCCCATTCAGAAGCCTGACAGCCCATAGATAAAAGCTGTTCTTCAGCCTGTTGGTACGGCTGGCTATGTTTCTGTATCTCCTACCCGATGGTAGGAGAGTAAAAAAGTACCAACCAGGGTGTGAGTCATCCCTGAGAATTTTCCTCACTCTGCCAAGGCAACGGGCCCTGGCGATGTCATCCAGTGGAGTCAGGGAACAGCCCACGATGTCTTGTGCTGTGCTCACCATCCTCTGCAATACCTTCCTGTCTGCAGCTGTCAGGCCAGCATACCAAACCACAATACAATATGTGAGAACGCTTTCAATAGTAGACCGGTAGAAGAAGGTCATGAGTCGTCGTTCTACCCTGTTTTTCCGAAAAACCCTGAGAAAGTGGAGTCTCTGTTGGGCCTTTCTGGCCACCTGGGCTGTATTAGTTTTCCAGGTAAGATCTTCACAAAAGTAGACTCCCAGGAATTTGAAGGAGGAAACTCTCTCCACATAGTCCCCCCTGATGTAAAGTGGGGCAGGTTCCTCTCTTTTCCTCCAGAAGTCTAGCACCATCTCCTTTGTCTTGCCAATGTTCAGGTGCAGGTTGTTATCTAGGCACCATGAGGATAGTTTTATGATTAACACAAGATTTTTTTTTTTGTCATGTAGTAGTAGTAGCAATGGATTGAAAGTTTTTTTTATGATACAGTCCCATTGTTTCAACTGCATAATAGTTTGTGTTTTTGGAAAGGAAGATTTGTACTACGAAATTCTCAAGAAAGCATTCTCATACCCCCTCCCCCCAAAATATATAAATATACAGATACTTATCTTCCTTGTGTATGAATGGCTTCTTGGGTGCTAGGGGAAAGTTATCATTTATCTTTTACTGTTCAGAATCAAGCACCTTTGTGGGAAACATTGAATAATACTGTATGTAGTATAAAAAAATTCATCCTCGGTCACTGGAGAATCCTAGCTAGTCTGATTAGGAAGGACAAAACATAAATCAATTTCTTATGTTCCAGATTAATTTAACAAAGTCCTTCTTCTAAGTAACAGGCTGCTTACTTTTGGACATTTTTTTGTGGTAACAACTGTAATTCTGCAAAAGGACTTTAGGAAAAATGAGTTTATTTTTTGTCTCCAAATAGGTTTATAGATTTTTTTTTTCTATTCCCCCTCATTTTTTTTCATTTGTTTTTCATACTCTCGTTACAGATCTGCTTTGTGAATCTGGATGCAGGCAAGGCTGATTACAACAGTGAATTCATGAAACAGGCAAGTGTTCTTCTAGTACATGCAGTAGGATTCATGTAGGAATAGATCCAACAGTATTTCCATGCAGCCTTGTAGCTCATGGTGTGATTTCGGTCAGTCACTCTTCTGCATCCAATTTATGGATGGTGGAGAGAAGAGTTAAGAAACCTGCTTAAGTATGTTGCTTTGAGCTTCTTAGATGGAAAATTGAACATGAATCCAATTAATTGTGAAATTCAATGCTTAAACACTATGACTGTTTCTCACATCTGAATTGTAGAAATTTCAGCAGTTAGATATGTATCTAGTCTCCACACAGAAACACACATTTCTAGAAATATCCACAGAGGCATTTGCACAGCCGTAAGGCAACTGGCATTCAGTGATAAACTAATTAATAAAATTAAATAGTTTCAACCCCCTTGTCCAGATTAGACACTATTCTTGCAAATGTGGGTTATGCTATTACTACTATTATTCCATGGATTCCCTTCTGATATTATTTTATATTATTATATTTATAATTATGTTGGTTGCACAGTCAACCCAATATTTAGACTGGATTTGTCACCTTTATTCACCTACTGAGTTCTTCCCAAAGACCCGGGATAGGCAGATGTTGTTATTTAATAATAATAAAGACATTGTCACAGGGTGTAATCTGTTCCAATTGCCTTATGCAATTGCCTAATGGGGATTTTCTTCAGTGCTCAGGTGGTGCTCCAGATATTTTGGGATTGCACCCTAGGTGCCTATTACTATTGGTACTATCTTTCTTTTCTTTTACCGCAGATGTTCTGCTTTTATTTATAGACCTTTGTATTTTGTGATTTTTCTCCATTTCTTTCTCTTCTGTTCTGCTATTTACAGACATTGCAACATCTATTATCCAGATATTTTGTTGTCTTATTTATGATTGTTAAATCTCTTATAATAAATATTTTTCTGAAATGTCTCAATTCATTCTATTTATCTCTATTTTGAAAATCTTATTCCAGTAATCTCTATTTTGAAGATCTTATTCCACTGCTTTGCCAGTTTCTCATTGGACTATTTAAATAAGTCCTTTTTTAGATTAGCAGTTATCTCATTCCATTCCCAATAATTGCAGAATTAAATTAGTTTTGTAGGGATCTTTGAATTTAGAGTGTGGAAACTTCAACTAAAAAAAATCATTTCTTAGTCTGGGTAAAGCACATGCACAGAAAGGCTTACGGCAACATCATTCTCACATTTAGAAAAGAGATTTTATCCAAATTGTTCTTGTAGAAATAATGCATACTGGATAACTGCTCAGAAATTCCTTGGGAAACAAGTAAAATGATTCTATGAATACCTTCTGTGCTGAACAGTTTTTCCTAATAAATTTATGGCAATTAATTTTAAGCTGCCTAACCTTTTTGTCTGCATACTTTTAAAAACCTGAAAAATATTTTTCCCTTCTAATTTTTTAATCTAAGCTGATTAAATATTCTAGTTGTTTTGTCACTTGTTCTTCCCTAATCTAATCATTTTAATTACTAAACACCCTAGGTTCCCTTCTAGACACTTGTGTGGAAAACATTTTCATTATCTTGGTAAAGTATTTGACTGAAATGATTTTTTTAGATTTTTTTTGTCTACACTTAATATTTAGTATGTTGGATTTAAGCACATTTCAAAAGTCATGGGAGAAGTTAGATCTTGATCTCCAGTGGAAATGTAGAGCAGCAAAGGTTTCTGGTTCCAAACTGTATAAAAAGGAAATGAAAAAAATTTCTATGATCACATTCCAATTCAACAGCTGATTATTATTATTATTTTAAAAAGCTTGGACTAATCTGTGATAATTGTGTGGAAAGGTTCTCAGTATCATTCAGGCCTGAAATGATACTGAGAACCAGAAAACAAATATTTCAAAATTCTATCTACAAGTCTGAAGTTGGCTGAGTTCAAAATAATCAGTTTTTCTTATGCTTAAAATAGACTGAAGGAAGCAAATTAAGCTCCCCTCCTTGGACCAACACCAGTCCGCAGCATGCCAAAAACTGGTTTGCACAAATAATGAAGCCCCATCTGTGGGATCAGGCGGCATACGGAAAGACCTCTCTCCATGGAATCAGTCCCTGGAGCCCAAAAGGTTGTGGGGGGCACTGGTCTAGTTAACATAGTTCTATGTTCTATTCATGGAAACACAGAGGGGAATTTCTAAAAGTTGTTCCTCATTCTAATTCAACAATTCTCAATCTTTTTCTAACAGTAGAAATCAGTCATATAGTTCTTATTATGCATGTGAATAAAAAACGTTAAAATGGATGTCTGAAATTGTATGATCTCATAACATCTCCATTTTAAAATTCACCTCCGTTTACTATTAATGAGGTTCATTCTGAGATCATTTTTGAGGATGTCAGCAATCAGAATTATTTTGTATTTGATAGCAAGCATATGTTACCAAATACAATACAATCTGCCTCAAGATCCTGATTCTTGTATTTCAGAAACTGGTCAATATCTCTCCAAATCTTCCAAAGTTTATTGCCTCAATGAATGTACAGCCACCAAAAGACAATGAAATTATTTTCCTGAGTGGATTAACTTCAGAAAATCTTCAGGCTGATTTTGAAGTGTCCCAGGTATGAACTTCAAATTAACCTTTAGAAATGCCTTCATGCCCTGATCGATATTTCAGAAATAATTGCAGAAACTTACAGAGGTGTACACTAGCCAACTAGTAGCCAGAGATGTTCATATATATGTATGTATACAAATGAATAAAATGAGGATGCAATAGTCCTATACCCATGTACATGGGAGTATGTCTCATTTATCCAAGGGAACATAGTATGGAACAAATATATATAGAATTATACATGGTACCAAATGTGTGGGGTGGATAGTTAGCATATATGTGTGATCAATAGCTGATCAGTTTAATCAAACCACTGTCTTAGGATTTAAATTATATGCAATTCTCTTGAATGCAATACAGAAAATCAATTTGTATATGACTCCACTACAATAATGTGATCCTAATACTGTAAAATACATCTGGAGGCACTGGATTACATGAAGCATATTTTTAAAATTATGGTTAAACACAATGGGAGTTGCCCTGAATGAACATTACTCTAAACCTGATTGTTGCTACTATATATATGAATCTATATATTTCAAGAATTCTTATCTAGGCAATTTTTAATAAAACAGATTTTTATCATATTAAAAATGTTAATTATATAAACAGAAGGAGATTACATTCATGGGATGAGTTTTTTTCACATAAAAGATCTTTTCATGAGCAGAAAGGATTCCATTGTGAGTGCAAGTCTCTTTTCATGAACTAAAACATTAGATTCAATCTAATTATAACTATTTATAAGAACAAATACCTGGTACCTCCACTCATTTACAGAAAATAGCCAATTTGTAGTCATGGTTAGCAATGTCACCAGACCATTCACTTCTTTAAGTGTTCAAACTAATCCACTGTAAATATTTTCAAAATATTTATAATCACAGGCACTCATCCATTGGCATCTATATATATACTATCAAAAGAGAGGTTTATCTGGATGAGAACTAAATGGCTCTGTTATTATTCTGGGACTGTATTAGGGCTAACTATATTTAGAATCAGAGTCCTATTCCGGGCAGATGTATTTGAGCTGTCCCCTTTCAAATTACATATCTTTTGACCCTGAAACAGGAAATGAATCTGAGAGTACAATAAAGAACTGAATCTGATATCAAGTTTAACAAAGTCATGCAAGCATATATAACCTGAACATACTGGCTCTTTATCTGATGCATATGTTCAGTAGAGCATACTCCTGAGTTTAGGATTGTAGCCCTTCAAGCAGAATATACATCATGTCTTGTAAATGTTATGAATGTGATATTTTTACATAAGAAATACCTTGGGAATGTGAAAAAATGTATAAAATATTCCTTATTTTTATCTCATATTTGCATAATTTCCGTGTGTTGTTTCCTTCTTCCCCCTCCATCCCCTAGTGTTCTTGGCTGGCAGACGTATGTCTTCTTCAGTGTGCAAGAGGAAACAGAAGGAAGAACACAAGCTGCATCATCTTTGAAATAAACAAGTTTCTGATCGGCCTGGAGCTCATGCAGAAAAAGCAGCTGCATGTAGAGGCTGGCAGCTTGAAGCCAGAAGATGATACTAACTGCTCTGTGTCTTCAATAGAAGAAGATTTTCTCACAGCATCAGAACACTTTGAAGATGAGGATGATGAATATAAACAGGGTAAAATCTGGGGGCCTGAATGCGGATTCATAACTGTCTGTCTTACTTAGGAACAGATGATTGATTAATCATGTGCAATCCAGTTGATATGCACTTTTAGCATAGATAGACCTTCTCCAGGATTATCTATCCCCCCAAGTCTTTCAGACCCTTCAACAATGCAGCTATGAGTGCTATAGATGAGTGTCCTCCTTGCTCCTGATCACTCTCTTCTTCCTATCACCTTTCTCAAAATTAGAGAAAAGAAAGACAAAATTAGAATCTTCACATAAAGGGCCCAGTATATGACAATTTGAATCTGGAAATTTGTGCTTTGAGTGAGAATTCTGGAATGATTTGTTCTATGATTTTATGAAATAGGGAAAGAGATTTTTAATAACCTGCATGTCACTAAATATCATTCAAAATATCCATGAGAGAGATATTTGATCATTCTGAGTGTGATTTTCTTTCCTTTTCATCATACTTGGAAATGCCCACTAGTCAAGGGACTGTTTTTGCAAATCAATGTATTGTTTTTCTTTTCCAGGTGATGAAAATCTGCATCTTGCAGCTGAATTCAAAAAGTATAGAGAAGAAGATTGTGAAGACTTGCATTGCAAAAAGGCCCAAGTGCCCTTTTTTCTGAAAGGTAGTTGCCTTAGCCATAATAGCACGGCTTCTACTAGAACTTCAGAGTCATCTGAAGAAGAATATAATAGTGAAGCTGAAGACAGTGTTTTACAAACTGTAGATGAAGCCATTAAGCAGCTTAATTGGAAAGTTGGAAAGTATAATACAACTGGAAAATATAAGCCACTGTCCAGTGCTGATCAGAAAGACTTTTGCAAAAGTGATAATATAGCAGAAAATGTATGTTTGACCCTAACAACTAAGGAGGATGTGATTTTATCGGATGATCTAGCTGCAGGACAAAAAAGTCATTTGGACATATTAAATTGTAGAGTTGAAAAAACACCTCATCCTCTCATTCAAAATGATCAAGCTCCTACAGGTCAGTTTGCTACAAATTTGGCAGAGTCTGTCCTGCAAGATGCATTCATTAGATTGTCTCAGTCAACCTTTACCAAAGAAACTGCCCTCAACATCTCTGTCAGCAACCCCTTAACTTCAACAGCATGTGCAACACAGAATGAAATGGCTTGCCGGTCATGGAATGTACTTCCAAAAATTGTTATTGTTCAGAGTCCAGATGGTTCTGATAAATCTGAGTGGCCTGGGTCTAACTTTCCAAGCTTATATCCTTGGTCTGAAGTTGAACATTCTTCTGGTCCAGATTTTTTCCAAAACAATGGTCTCAGCAAAAGTACTCAGAGTCCTTTGGAAGTAGCTTTGGCCTGTGCAGCTACTGTCATTGGTACCATTTCAAGTCCACATGCTGCAGAAAAGCTCAGCGAACAGGAATCCATGAGCTCTGCAATGACTGTGGGTAATCATGAAGTCAAGGAAAAAACTGCCCAAAGTATCAACAGTAATTGTAACTCTATGGAGTACTCATTTCCACCTGCCCTTTCACACATGGCTCAGACAGCAAATGTAGTTTCTGTTCATGGACTTGGTGGAAAAAAAGATATCTATCCTGTAACTTCAAGTGGACTCTTATCTGCAGCTGAGACATCAGCAGCTGTTACGCTCCATTGTAGCATAGCCATTGGAAGCACTATGGAGAATCTGAACAATAGCATTGCACAAGTCTTGTTCAAAGAGGCATCTCTAGTATTAACCAGACCTCATGCATACAGAACTATAGGAGAATTTATGGAGTCTCTAAATGGAAAAATTGTTCAGGCTGCAACAAAGCCCTCAACTGCCTTTCTGGATGAAGTCATTGTTGATGAACTTGCTCAGAATTTGTCCAATATTATTCTGAGGCATTCTGTAGAGGAAGTTAGAAAGAAACAACGTTCAGAAAAGAACATAGGTGCATGTTTAGAAAGCACACAAGATGTTTTTACTGCAACTGCAAATCGGCTTCTATTTAATGTATTTTACTTCACTTGCAAGAAAATGAATGACATTACACAGCTTAATGAATGTTCAAATACTTTCATTCCAGATAAGTTTAACAAACAGGTAATGGACTGCCAACCAAAAGAGACAAAAAATGATGTATTGCATCAGTCTTCAAGCTGCTACAATAATAAGCTCACCAGTAATTTCCATGACAAGGATGGTCTATTCATGACAAATTTGATGAACAATGTCAAAGAGGAAATTGTGCCAAATGCCCTGGAATCTCTATCTACAGTCAATGCTCAGAGTTCACCCTCCAGAAAAACATCTTCCAAGAAAAGGTATTTGAAAAAAATTACAAAAGAATGCAGACCCATAAATCCAAATAGCAATCACATGAAGGCAGAACTCTATCCATTTAGTGGCAGAGAAAAACTGACATTGGGCAGTGAAGGCAAACATGGCCTTCAAGAATTTCTAACTTCCAGTGTCTCCATAAAAACAGAAAATCATGAAGAGCCCACATGTGGTACAGTGTGGCACAATGAAAGACAGCTTAGTGTACCTTTTTTGGATAATCAAGGTATTTTGTCTACCCGACCTCTGGTATATTTAATGCATCCAGCAGATAAATACTGCATAACAGATTTTGCAGAAGAATTGGCAGAAACAGTGGTTTCCATGGCAACAGAAATTGCTGCCATTTGCCTTGATAATTCAAATGGCAAGCAGCCTTGGTTCTGTGCATGGAAAAGAGGAAGTGATTATTTGATGTCCCAGGCTTTGCCATGTCGACCTATGAAAAGGAAAAAGGAAACCCAATCCAGCGGCTCAACTGTGAGAAAACATAGGCCACCTAGACTTAGCGAGATCAAAAGAAAAACTGATGAACACCCTGAATTAAAAGAATGGCTTATGAATAGAGTTGTGGATGACTCAATTAACCTTGATGACACCCTTGATTTGAGCAATAACTTTGCAAATGAAGCAGCTGCTAAAATTATGAATTTAGCTGAGTTTTCTGTGGCTGATAATGTATGGCAGAATTCAAACCATCCTCAAAATAGGCTCCATTGTGACCGATGGAATAGAGTCAATGCATCCAGCTGTGAAAGCATTCCTGAGGAGGACTTGGATTCTAAAGAGTCTATAAATACTTTGGCTCTCATAAATTCTTTAGGACAGCCAATAAGCAGGACTAGTTCAGTCTCCAAGCAGTCTAGTTGTGAAAGCATTACAGATGAGTTTTCAAGGTTTATGGTCAACCAGATGGAAACTGAAGGCCGAGAGTTTGATTTATTACTTGACTACTATGCTGGGAAAAATGCAAATAATATTATAACGTCTGCACTGCAACAAGTAACCAAAAAGAATGGCCACCTCAATGTAAAGCCAAGTTGCCCATCCAAACAGTCAAGCACCGAAAGTATAACTGAAGAGTTTTATAGGTATATGTTAAAGGAAATTGAAAAAGAACATAAAGAAAAAGTATATTCTGCTACAAATGCAAAGGAATGGAGCAGCAGCTTATTACTTCCTTCTCAACGATCATCTTTTTGTTTCAGACAATCTTCAGTCCCTGACAACAGATCCTCAACATCTAGGCTAACAGTAAATATGCCCATTAAGGCAAATTCATTAGATGGCTTTTCTCATAGTGGCCACCGAGATTCCTTAAATGTCTATCCAGTCAACACAGCATCTTCTTCAGGACTCTGTAAATCAGATTCTTACCTGTACCAAAGATGTAGGACTGATCAGGTAACTGGCATGCTCATTCATGAGACCTGGGCAAATTCCATTAAAGCTCTGATGTGCAAGAACAGAATAATTCAAGATAGCGCGGAGGTTGCACAACCTGACCAGCATCCTTATGACTCTCCACCACATGTTCAACAATATGCACACAGACTTGCTGCAAATATTGTTGAAAGTGGGAAAACTTTAATAGCCATCCACCAAGATTCCACAAAGGAAGATCATGTCACAGAAAGCAGTTATATTCCATCAGGGATGCAAAATGATTCTAAACCATTTGGAGACAGAAGGTATTTAGATGAGAAAGAACAGCAGGCCTCATTCGCTGGATTGTTTTCTATAAAACACAGGAGCTCTTCTTGCCTCAGGGAAGTGCCTTTAATCCAGATTGAAACAGATCAAAGACAAGACCTTGATAATGCCTCAGAGCCTTTAAATGGAGTTAATGTTACCTCTGGGGAAAAAAGAGATCTACTCAAAATAAAACCCATAGATGCTGATTCAGGACAACAGCTAATTTCCTCAAAAGGCCATGGGTAAGTTTCATTCCCCAAAAGAACGTAAGACTTTATGGCAGACAAACTAGTAGTGCACCAGTAGGAAAGCAAGAGGCAAAGAAGTAAAGAAGCAGTCTTGTGATTTTTTCAACCTTGACTAAGCCCAGAGTGGGTTTGGGCCATGCTCCAAGATTGCTAGAATAATGAGTGGATGGGTTCAAATAAATAAGCAATTGAAAATGTAGTATATTTACATAATTCAATATATAATTCAATATATTAATAGATTTGAAATAACTACTCATGATTTGCTCTTTCATGCATTCACAACTCTGACATACACAAACACACACACACATACACACACATCAACATCATCATCATACATTCTTTCTTAGCCATAATAAAGTGATTCAAAAAAAGAGAAAAGCAACTCGCTATCAATTGTACGATTACCACAACAGCAAGCAAGAATATTGTATGCAGGTATGTTGGGGAATTGTAGGCAGCCTAGTTCATCCACCAAACCAGCAATTATGAGTTTGGAAAGATAAAACAGGATTTAAAAAACTACAAAAATTAACCCTAGAAGTATGAAGAACAAGGAAAGGAATGTATGAAGGGACAGAAGAAAAGGCATAATTAACAACTTGGTTAGCTTAGAAATCAGGCAAGAAGAAGGAAGGTAATACAAAAGAAAGGATGAAAATAGAGGAGAAAATCCAAGAAACAGGATGAAGAATTTAAAAAAATGAAATACTTTGGTTTCTTGGTGACTGCCTGATTATTAGCTAGTTTGCCAACTGTTGAGCATGGATACCAAAGCACGTGCTGCTGCATACTCAAATCTTGTTACAGATAGTCCTCGACTTACCATGATTCAGTGATTTTTTTTGAACTTACAATGAGACTGAAAAAAGTGAGTTATGATTAGTTTTCACTTACAACCATTGCAGCAGCATCATGGTCATGTGATCAAAATTTGGGCACCTGGTAATTGGCATGTATTTCTGACAGTTGCAGTGTTCTGGTGTCATATGAGGTAGAATTGAAGGCTCAAATTGTTTCAATCATGAAGAAATTTATTATCCCACAGAAAACCTGGACACTTTACCAGTCTTGCCCAATTATTGTCATTGGTCAGTTTCCCCAATTGATCCTGAAAACATTTATATTTATTTACAGAAGAACGATAGAATATGAGAATTGCCATGCCTGCACATGAGATTATTCCTTTAAAGAAATAATAATAATAATAATAATAATAATAATAATAATAATAATAATAATAATAATAATAATAATAGTAAAGTTGGAAGGGACCTTGGAGGTCATCTAGTCCAACCCCCGGCTCAGGCAGGAAACCTTACACCATTTTGGACAGATGGCTGTCCAGTCTCTTCTTAAAAACTTCCAGTGTTGGAGCATTCACTGCTTCTGGAGGCAGGTTGTTCTAACTGTCAGGAAGTTTCTCTTAGTTCTAGGTTGCTTCTCTCCTTGATTAGTTTCCATCCATTGCTTCTTGTTTTTAAATTAAGTAAAATATTTATATATAACTTTCCTTTATATTTTTATAAACAACAGTAAAACCAAGGACAGCAAACAAAATAAACAGGAGTTAATATAAATTCATATAAAATACAGATTTAACCTAAAAGAGATGAACAGCTTTATTAATGCCTTAACAAATGAGGTCTTGCATGGTACTTAAAATTAACCCAAATAAACAGCCAGGAAAGCAGCTGTAAAGAGAATTTTCAGAAGCTATCACATTGCCACCGAATAGTTCCATTGTCTGATCACCACTCACCTAATATCAGATAGTGGATAAGGAGATGAATTGATCTAACAAGAAAGATCACATTGCTTAAAACTCTTAATTACATTCTTTTCCTAATCTGTTCTTTCTCCCATTTTTCCATTCTTGAAGCAAACTGTACTTTAATTTTGCTCAACAACAATGGAAAAGGTGATTGATTTCTCAAGGAGCAGAAGGGAATGGAAATATAGGGGGTATAGTGGTACCAACTGCAGTCTACAATCCTTACAAGAGAGAATACCATTTTAGTTCTTCTAGTAAAATATATGGTAACAGATGCATCTTCAAAAAAGGCAGTATAATTAGGGTCTAATGATTCCATGATTATTGCAAGAGTGTTGAGAGTTTGAATTATTTCAGTTGTAAGAATTACAGGATAGTTTCATCAAGAATGTTTTTTCTTTTACCAATCAGTTTGACAGTAAGTAGTTGCCCTGAATCTGAAGCCTCTGTGAACAATACAGCAGTGGAAGAGTTTCCAATCCCTCTTAGCAGCAGTGAAGAAAGCACATGTAGCAGCTGGTGCCAGCTGGCAAACAATCCTGATGATACAAGCAGCTATTTGCAACTCAGTGAGAGATCTATGAGGTAACCTTATGCTCTTCAAGCTATAAACTGCATAAATGTTTGGCTTATGGTTTTCTTAAAATGAATTCTGGAAAAAGAGGTTTAATTTTCATACTGAGTTCCAGGAGACCTCATTACAGCTTTGGAAATCATGCAAAGAAATTGTAATCTCATCCAAAGCAATTGTTTTCCATTCCCATAAGAAAAATACTAAGGGACAAGCTAATTAGTCAATCAAGCTCATTTTTTTTTCATTCCATATTTCTGACACATATGTTGCATTAATACTTGAGTGACTTGTACATTGCTCTGCTGCACCAAGTTCTCATTTGCCATTAGGGTAGATATCGGAGTAGAAAAATCTGGAGGAAAATATCTATTGTAAGGTGCCTTTTTCTGTGAAGCACTTCAGTCTTATTACATGACTGTACGTACGTAATCAACAGCAAAGTTTCAGAATATGTGTAGATCTACATAGCTGTATTAGGCTTGAATGCCCAGTCTATAGAAATAATTTGAATGGTCTATTCTTTTTACAGATATTTTATTCTACTGCTCACTCACATTTTCTAAGTGTTTATATCTAAGCCTATGTTGACACAGATATCATAACAAAGTAAAGAAATTCACAACTGTTTTAACACTTTTCTCTTCATAAAAATAATTTAGCATTGCACTATGAGATCGTTTGTCCAACAAAATTGAGAATTTGTATGAAGGGACAATTATTGTTTTCAGTTTTCACATTATGTGGCTCAGTACTGCCAAAACAATCAAATATTTGTAGCTGCAGATTGATATATCTGGCTGCCAAGTAGTGGTTCTTATTTTATAAGAGGTTTCTGAGTTTTTGGAAAGATACTCAAAAGAATTATAATGTGAGCAGACTTAAAGTAGATTTGGTATAAACTTGCTAAATACTTGGTCATTGCAACACCAAATAATTGGAAGATATATAAACCAATCATCATTAATTCAATATCATCAGGTGTTCATATCTCCTGTTAGCACCTTCAAAACAATATATTTTAACTGGTGCATCACACACAATTTGCTACTAATATCAGTTGACTCATATGCAAGCATTAATCACCTTTTATAAAGGATGATTTGCTATCCTGGGCTGAAAAGTTCATCTTCATTTCAAATCACATACTACAGCAGCGGTTCTCAACCTGTGGGTCGTGACCCCTTTGGGGGTCGAACGTCCCTTTCACAGGGGTCACCTAAGACCATTGGAAAAGACATATTTCCGATGGATATTTCCGATAGGAACTGAGACACCGCTCCGCATCCATCTCCGCATGGCCTCCTCCACCATTTGCAGAGAGAGAGAGAAAGAGGCACTTTCGCTTCCCGTCTCTCTCTCTCTCAGGCAGACTTACCTCCTGCAGGACTCCTGATTGGCCTGCGCCTGGATGCCCCACCCCCTGGGAGAAGCGCAGCCAGGGCCTCGTGGCCTTGGAGCCGCCTGGGGAAGCCCTGGGATCCCTGTTGGGAGCGGCCCACTGGAGGCTCCGCTGAGCGGGCCAGCCCTCCCGCAAGCTGCAGCCCAAGGGAGACCAGCCCCTGCATTCCTGAACCCAGCCCGACCATTAGCCCCGCTGGCCGGGAAGGCATGCCGGAGTCCAGGCTGCTGGGAAGGAAGAAGGAGATGCAGGAATGGTAGGAGAGGAGAGCCTCTTCCTGGGGCCCGGCACTGGCGGCGGCTTCCTTGCCCTCCTCTTCCTCCTCCCCTTCTTCCTCCTGCTGCCCCCCAGGCGGCTTGGGCAGGCGCTGGGACAAGAAGGGTGCCTGGGGGGGAGCAGCCAGGCTGGCAGGGGCCACATGGCACCAGCCCCCACCGTGGCTCCATCGATGGGTGGAGGGCGAAGCTGGGCAACACAGACTCCGAGTTTGGGTGGCTGCTTCCTCGCCCTCCTCCTCTCCTTCTTCTTCCTGCTGCCCCCCAGGAGGCTCAGGCGGATACTGTTCCCACCGCGGCTCCATCAATGGGCGGAGGGCGAGGCCGGGCAGTGCAGAGTCCCAGCAGGGGCAGTGGCCAGGCTGGGGGCAGCGGGGACCCCCGACAATGCAGCCGTGCCACCGCTGCTGCCACTACTGAAGCCGCTGCCTCCCGTCCTGCTTCCCTCTCCTGCCCGTTTGGCTGAGGACACGGTGGAGGCTGGGCTGGGGGCGGCTTGGACCCTCGATGATGCTGCCGTAAGAGAGAGAGAGGAAGAGAGAGAGGAAAAAGAGAAACAGAGGAAAAGAGAGAGGAAAGAGAGAGAAAGAGAAAGAGAGGAAAAAGAGAGAAAGAGAAAGAGGAAAAAGAGAGAAAGAGAGAACAGAGAGGAAAGAGAAAGAGGAAAGAGAAAGAGAGGAAAGAGAGACAGAAAGAGAGAAGGAGGGAGAGGAATGGTGCTTCTCCAACGAGGCTGGGCGAAGCTGGCAGAGCGGCCTTCCTGCCCCCCCTCCCCGGCCAGCTGGATGGGGGGTTGGGGGTCACCACGACATAAGGAACTGTATTAAAGGGTTGTAGCATTAGAAAGGTTGAGAACCTCTGTACTACAGATTTAGTTCTTTCTTTAGTAGTAAATATCACTAGCTATATACCACTGTAACAGTTCACTTGCTTTCTCCACTTATTTTTTGTTCTGTTAATAATGGTTTGCTAAGCAAACAAGACCTGCATGTTCATTCTGACAAATAGAAAAGTAGCAGTTCTGCCAGTCACTTTGGCTTAACGTTGTGTTTAAGTGCATATTGGAGCAGACTAGTATTAATATTAACATTTTTGCATTGTCAGCAATGGCAACAGCAGTACTTCTAGCAGTCTTGGCATTATGGATCTGGAAATTTATCAGGAAAACATACCATCTTCTCCTGCATTTAAGTAAGTAGTTTTTTGGGAGTGGGGGGGGTCGTCCTACAGAAACACCATTTCATTTCAACCAAAATTCTTTCACAGTGTGTACAATGTGACAAACTTTTCCAAAGTTTCATAGTTTATCTTGATGCTTTCCAGTTGCTGTTTCTTGCAAGTGACAATGTAACCTTATAGTTGCTTATTACAAGTTTTATAATTACTGTTTAATAAAAATATCCAGCTCTTTCACATATTACAATGCATTACAAAATGCAAATTAACTTTTCTGCCCTATATATTAAATACATTTGCACAGTGCTTTTTTTCTTAAAAAAAAAAAGGTGCCGGAACTCACACATCATACAACCTGCCTTGCCTACCCTATAAGGTTCCATCCAAAAAAGCCCTGCATTTGCATATACAATTTCATGTCTACAGTCCATGTATGTTTCCCCTCCCAAGCATTATCATAGTATTTAAGGGTACATAACTACTTTTGTTTTTGCTGCAGCTGTCTATAGTAATTAATATAAATGCTTTTATCTAGCAACACATTTTTGTTTTGAAGAGTGATACCAGTTCAGCCCCAAATCCTGCACTAGGCAGATGGCAAACAAGCAGGAAGCATTAGCACTTTCCCACTAGTTTTATTAGCTTAAACTTAAATCAGTTCACAAACAATATTAGAAATGAGATGTAAATTAAATAGCAAAAGATATGCAGAGAAAAAATATCACACATGAAACTCTTATCGTAGCTGAGGTTTAAGTAATTTTAAAAAGAGCATGTCACTGTAGTCCTAGAGCCAAACGGATCTAAAAAATCCAAACCAGAGGCTATAAGTTGAAGTTCCATTTGCAAGGGAAAAGTCAAAAGAAATCAGGAAAAGAACCAGAGGAGTTCTTTTTTTTTCTTTTTTTTATTATTTTTTTCCCATCAACATATGTTAATTTTTCCAATCAAACAAGTTGTCTGGTCTTTGCTAAGCTAATACATGTTCACTTCCTAATCCTTCACTCTTTTCTCTAACCAAGAATAGAATAAATTCCAAATTTTATAATAGTCCGCATCTTCTTTATCTTTCAGCGCCATAGTCCATCTCTGCACATTCCAATATTTTCGTGATTATTTCTTCTTCTGATGGCAATCCTTCATTCTTCCAGTACTGTGCAAAAATTATTCTTGCTGCTGTGGTAATATGTAGAATTAAATATAATTTCTGCTCATTAATCTTTTCAAACATAATGCCTCGTAAAAAAAGTTAAGGTTTAAAATCCACTTGTTCACCCAATATTTTTTCTAACCACATATGTATGCTTTTCCAATAGGCCTTTGCCTTCCCTCATGTCCACCAAATATGGTAATACGTGCCTATATTATGTTTACATTTCCAACATCTATCTGGCATATTTTTAAACATTTTTGCTAATCTTGCTGGTGGAAGGTGCCATCTATAAAACATTTTATACAAATTTTCTTTGTATGAAGTTGACATTGTTAATTTATAGTTTCTCTCCCATAACATTTGCCATTTTTCTAATTCTATATCATAACCAAATTTTTTTGCCCATCTTATCATTGTTTCTTTCACTTGTTCACTTTCCATATCTAAAATTAACAAAAAATATACATTTTCTTAATTAATTTCTCATCCGAGGTTAACAAAATCTTATCAAACACATTTTGATCCTTGTAAAGTCCATACATTTTTACATCTTTTTTATATCTACTTTGTATCTGCAAATGTGCCCACCAGGACAAATTTATTTCTAAGTTTTCCAATTCTTGTTTAGATTTTAATTTAATATCTAAAATATCTTTATATGTCCATACTTTTTTAAAGTCTACCAGATTCAGATGTATAAATGCCTCCATCATTGATAACCACCCTGGAATTTTTGAATATATTTTAGTTTTAATTTTTTCCCATACTGTTAATAAGGCATTTCTTATAAAATGATTTTGAAAGTACTTATGAACTCTGTTTTTCCCATACCATAAAAAAGCATGCCACCCCAATTGTAAATCATGTCCCTCTAAATCAGTGGTTCTCAACCTGTGGGTCGGGACCCCATTTGGGGTCGAATGACCATTTCACGGGGGTCGCCAAACCATGCTGTCCGCCATTTTTTTCCCTTTTCCCTAGCTGTCCTACTCCCTCTTATTGGTGGCCACACCTACTTGGGGGTCACCACAACATGGGGAACTGTATTATGGGGTCACGGCATTAGAACGGTTGAGAATCACTGCTCTAAATACAATAACCTTTTATTTCTGAGTGTTATCCACTCTTTCACCCATGTTAACACAGATGCTTGATAATACAATGTCCATTCCGGCAACCCAAAACCTCCATTTTCCTTAGCATCTTGTAATGTTTTCATCTTAATTCTAGCTTTTTTCCCCCTGCCAAATAAAGTTCAAAACCAATGAATTTAAGTTTTGAAAGAATTTTCTCTCAAGCTTTATCGGGATCGTTTGAAATAAAAATAAAATCTTCGGCAACACATTCATTTTTACTGTAGCAATTCTTCCTAATATTGACAATTTGAGATTTTTCCATCTTTCCAAATCTAGCTTTAATAATTTTATATAATTGTCTTCTTTTATTGTCGAACATTTAGCCAAAAGATGAATACCTAAATATTTAACTTTTTTCACTATTTGTACCTCTGTTTATCTAGTATTTGCCTTTTTTGTTTATCTGTGAGGTTCTTTACTATTACTTTAGTTTTATCTTTATTTATTTTTAGTCCTGCCACTTTTCCATATTCTTCTATCTTTTCCCATAGTTTAGGAATCATCTGTAAAGGTTCTTCCAAAATAAACACTAAATCATCGGCAAATGCTTGTAGCTTATATGTTTCATCTTTTATTTTCAATCCTTTAATTTCTGTATCTTGTCTTATCCTTCTATTTAATACTTCCAGAGTAAAGATAAATAATAATGGAGATAGTGGACACCCTTGTCTTGTGCCTTGCCTTCCAGAGGAGTTCTTTCTAACAAAACAAGAAGTTTTGAATCATGCTGTGTAACAGCCAGAGTTTCAGGTTTTGCCTAATGGTTAATTAACCCTGCAAAAGGCTTCTTCTTGAAGAGTCATGCATATTCCATTACTCTCCTTTCTTTACCTGATTTTGACTGCTTGCTATCTGAATCAGCAATCACCTGTGCTGAGTGAGTCAGGTAGCTGACTACCTGTTGTCTTCCAAAGAGTAGGCTGAAAGTCTGCTGTGCCTCCTATTCAGTTTTATAATCATGAATTCATAACCACCTCTATGAATTATTTTGTGGATGAAAAGGTGGATGTAAGCTTATCTAATTTGTAGACACAAAACTGAATGAATAGTGGAGCTTAAATTTGGAGAAATTTAAATTAACTTTAACTTACTAGAAAAAAATAGCTGAAAATAACAATGAAATTTAGCAGAGAGAATTGCAAGTTCCTCATTTAGGAAAATCAGATGCCTTGGAATAGGGTGGTGGATATCTGACTTGACAAACTCAGCACAGGTATGAAACTTGACTGCAAATTGATGATAAATTGGACTGTGGTCTGGTTGGGGGAAAAAAGCAACCATCACTTTGTTCATTGCATTAACAAAAGTATGATTTCCAAATATTGGGAAGTAATTCTACTTTATATTGCTTTGGTCAAGTTTGTCCATTCTGAAGACAGCTACTAACCCTTCTCTGCATTTAAATCTGTATGAATATTAATGTAATGCATTGCACTCATCTTACTGAGAATATCTCTTAGCAACAAATTAAGCTTGTTCAGAACAGATTCAATTAATTTAAGATGAAGAGAAGCTGTTAATTTCAAAATGAAAAGATAATTAACATGGTGCACACATTTTTAACACATTTTCTTGTTTGGGTTCATTTCTATTACATTAGTCTAAAAATATTAAAGCTCTGAACAGGTATGTAAAATATGCTTATGTAATCTATACCTGGAAAACTGAACTATTTATCAAAGAATGCCTACCACAATGACTATTAAATTCTTTTGCCTAATTACCCTTTTCCTGGTCATTCAATAAGTTATTATCCTCACAGAAATAAAAAAATAAAATAAAAATAGACTCTGTTGTTTTATAAAAGGGTTCTTCCAGTGTCTCAATCCTGGAAACTCTTCATTCTAATAACCATATCCTATATATATTTAGTGTGCATTTCTAAAGGACAGACATGTTCATTCAATTTCATTCAATGGAATTAAAACCCAAACCTGCAAATGAATGAAGACAAATCAGAAACACTCTATACATCTTTCTGAATGCAAAAATGGGACATTTATATTTTATTTTTTGTATCGTTAATAAAGTTTAATGTAATGAACTTTTTTGAGTAGTGTGCCTTACCAATCAGCATTCAGATCCATAATACCCATTTCTTACATAAAGGCATGGAAAGGAATTCATCACTGAGGTTCAAAAACCGGGCACGCATGCAAACATCTGCCTTGACCGTCTGCTATCCCCCTGGTGCTGACTCATGAATTTGAGGCTACATTGAGTTTTGCTCTAGATTTGCTGGGCATTTCTTTAAATATTTAAAATACCTACCTAAGATTAATCTGAATCAGCATGCCTCTATTTGGTAGAAAAAAAAGTAACTGAAGGGAGTCTAGATATGCCTCCCTTGGCAAGGGATTATGAAGACTAGGTGCAAAACACAAAAAAGCATCTCTCATTCCTATCACTGCTCTACCAATAGGCTTCTGTTAGCGTAGTTCAAGAAAAGTAATGGCTTTTCTTGAAATTCATGAAAGAATGAATGTGTAGTATTTGAGCCAAAGTTCCTTGTAAACATTTTTGTTTATTTGTTTCTTGAGTGATTTAACAGAAGGTGTTTTCCGTGAGAAACTACCAGAAAAGACAGAGGGTAAGTCATACATTATAAAATAAGGCAGGGGAATTTACTTCATAAGCATCTGTCTCATGAAATAAAAATCATACTTTCACTCTTTAGAATGCACATCTGGGTTGACTGTTGAAACTACTAATAAACAAAAAGATCTCTTGGTGATAAACATGGACCTGGAACCAGAATATCCTGATGCAGAATTGCGTGCTACACTTCAATGGATTGCTGCATCTGAGCTTGGGATACCCATAATCTATTTTAAGAAATCTCAGGAACAGAGAATTGAAAAGGTATTTGTGAATGGTTGGATAGATTCCATTGTTTAATATACCACCACCCCTTTCTATGGTAGCCAACACAATATACAAGCAAGAAAATATATAAAATAAAATACACAAGTATACATCTAGCTAATAATGTACCCAAAAAGATATCCTGTGTACCATTCAGTGGAACAGCTTGGTCTTTAACAATCTGAGAAAGGCAAGGGGGACTAAGAGCAATCTGTGTCTGAGAAATTCAGCATGTTCAGCATGAGGGCAATTACAAAGAGGGTGTATTGTTCAGTTCCTATTCCATAGGCTTCATATCAGGTGACAACTCTCATTAATCCTTTCCAGAAGTATACATGGGACAAACAAGACCTTGACAGGAGTCATAACTCTATAAATATCTAGGAGCTAAGTCATGATGGGTTTTAAGCATGAAAACTAGCACTTTGAAGTGAACCCAAATACTGTAAGATATGATTTACAGTATTTGGAGACAAATGACATTTTTTCAGATAGAAAATGTTGCAATAATGTTTTAAGGACTCTTGCCTTCTTACAGTTTTGCATTACAAAAAAGATTGGCTTTTGCCATTGATATACAGTACTGTAAAGTTGTTGTATCTATGTCCTATCATTTCTGTAAGCCAGGGGTCCCCACCCCTGGCCCATTACTGGGCCATGGCCTATTTGCAACCAGCCCGTGTAAGCGGCGGGCCAATACACACATGTGCAGCTCAACTCATGTGAGCGGGCTGCTGGCACGCACATGCACGCACAGCTCATCTTGCAGTTCATCTGCATGTGCATGCACACTGGCTTACCGCTTGCACGAATCAAGCTGCATGCATCCATGTGCACCGGCCTGCCACTTGCACGGACCGGTTCCCCTCTTCTTTCCCCAGCTGGGTCACCAAGCTGCTTGAGGTAATATATATACAAAATATCTTTTTTGTCTTCACACCACTCTAAGTAAGGTCAAGAAGTTATGACATATTAATGCTATACCATGTGTTCAAAGATAACTGGGGATTTAAAGCCAAACATCTTGTAACTAATCCTGTGCATTACCCTTCATTGATTCATATTGTGAAATGTGTCTGATTCATGTCCACACAAGACAGCAGTCCAGAAATTGACAATGTTACAATTTACATACTACTCAGTATTGCTTAAAAGTTATTTCCATCACCATTACTATAAAAAATCTGTTCATTCACAAGTGTAAGCTACAATCATGTCTGTAAACTAGATTTACAGCAATGAGTCAAGCAGGTAAATGTAAAGTGATAGCTTACATAAAATCAATGTTATACGTTTTACATATATCCTGCTCCCTCTTACTTAATGCCCTTTGGTAGCTTGGAACAACTCACTTCAGCATCAGCAGCATTATCTTTGTAAGGCATTGTAGAAGCTGTGGTCCAAACCCATGGTGTAAATAGTTTCTTGTACAATACACACCAGTGGGTATTGCATAAATAGTGGAAGTATATTATTGCTATAATAATTTAGTTGCAAAAATGATAGGAATCTGCTGAATCTTAAATAATCAAGTGGCTCTTCAGTATAGCTGACCTACTGTTAGATATTTAGGGGGAAATATTTTGGAAACTTAAAATATTACTTAAGTTGCAGATTCACTAACAACTGCCCAAATTCTGTCATAGAAATAGCTGACAGCTTTGTTAATAGCTGAGTCAATTACTAAAACCTATGTGAGAAAGATTAAATCAAGTCTGCAATCTAGTTTTTGAAAATCTACTTGCTAGTTTAACATCTTTAAAAGGTGTGTTTAAAGTTAGAATATCACACACTGATAGCAAATAGTTCAGAAAAGCGATGATAAAATTAGATATTGATTGCAAAATGAAAGAAGATGAAAGAAATCTTTCTAAGCTCAAAGAAAAGTAGTATATGATGATGCAGTGTAATAGCAATGTGGCTAGTAGATTTTGCCCCACTGTCTGAAGTGTAAAGAAAACAAATGTCAGAATGCATATTGATGCATATTAGAATAAAACATACTTCTCTAGGATTTTGTGCTGCTCTATGATTGAAATAGAGATCCAGTATTGGATGTTTTAATTTCCACTGACAAAGATATTTGAGCTATTTTAGAAACCTACAACCCAGTTGATACCTTTTTATCAGAGTCAGCTCTAAGGAAAATAGCACATAGTTTTTATTTTTACTATTTGCTTTTAAATAGTGTCCTCATTTCTACCAAGGATCTCTTAATTCTTTAGTAAATGTATGTGGATTATTTGATTTGTTATTAATCATTAGCTGACTGATCAGTAGCAAAATATGAATCAACAGAGTGGATGTAAATGGTGATTATCAATCAATGACCATCAATTTAGGCCAGTTCAAAAATGCACAACATTTGTCACAGCTGTTTTCACTAATTAAACTGTGAATGAACATGTACTAGTTTAGATCTCTTAGCTTAAAAGAAAAAAACAAAACCTTGTCTAATTTTTTTTCCTTCCAGTTTTTAGATGTTGTGCAGTTTGTGCACCAGAAGTCCTGGAAAGTGGGTGATATCTTTCATGCTGTGGTACAATTTTGCAAGCTCCATGAAGAAAGTAAAGAGCCGACTCTGAGCCTCTTTGACTGGCTTCTTGAACTAGGATAAAACCTTCTTAAAGATTCTATTTGCATTTTTAATCTGTTTTAAGCGGCAGTGATCTGTGAGTGGCTCTGTTTTATTCAAAATCTCAATATAAATAGAGCTGAAAATTATAAATTCTGCTGATTCATCATGACCCTGTTCCAAAGCAGTGCAAAGTAGGGAAGTGAGGAAGGAGGGCAGGGCAGAAAGAGAGAAGTGAAGAGCCAGTGTAAAATATTGCTACATTAAGGACTTCGTAGTTTTGAATGCATTACTCTTGAAAAGAATAGGATATGCATTTAAATGACTGAAAAAGACATTTTCCATAATCTGCCAGCTATGTACGGTATTAACTGGAATTACAGTAACAAAAAATACAAAAAACTTTGTATTTATAGTTCAAATGCCTAATGATTATACAATGACAAATGAGTACATAGCAGATGTCCTTAAATAAATTCTATATTGTTCTGCTTTCAATCTATTCCCAAATTAGGGTCTATGCTCACACTGCATTGAAAAGCCTGAAAGTCATTCCACAAGGGTGTCCATTCTGCTGAAAGAATTAAGCCCAACAACTTTTTAAATGAGTTCTTAAAACTCATGTTCAGTGAGTATAATCCTGGACTGTCCTTTAGTAGAATTGAGTCTCACAGGGGAGTTCTAGACAATTGCCTGAAATATTAGCATTTTCCAGTTTCCTTCCACATTTTTAACAATGATTCATGTACTTTATAAGTCTATTTACAATCTCTGAATAAATAATAGAAACATGTACTCTGAGTAAGCTTGCAGTCAGGAATTTAATACAGTCATTTAACTCCAAAAGTAAAATATGTTCAATTAGGTCAACCTGGAAAATAATGGCTTTTTATTATGCCTTAATAGGAAGATTGTACTGATGAAATAAATTTCATACTACTAACAACAGTTTATTTCTAACATCTTTAAGATAATGTATTGTTTTGCTGTAAATATTTGAAGTATAGTACATAAGATTTTTCTTATGGAAAAATGTACTTGTCAGACAAAAGCTGGTACCTTGCTACTCAGAAAAATAGTTCTCATCCTACTCAAACATTCTTTATAAGAGCTAAAGAATCTGATTTTAATATATAATCAAGAAAGTAAGTTAGATTCCAGTAAAAAAAAATCTTCAGCTTGCTACTAATGCAAATTGCCAATATCCATTGCTAGTAGTTTTCATTGTGGCGCTATTATGATATTGAACATTTCTTTCACAAAAAGGGGTACTTTTCACTAAAGAATTACATGATTTTAGAATGTATCAAAAAATAACATTATTTTGCACTATTTTAGAAGCAATTTTTAATACAGTATATAGAGCCATAATTACCATGATTTTCCAATTACGCCTGCCCTTTCTTACATATACAGCAAAGATATTGCCAGCATTTTTATCAATTTAAGTGGCTTTATGGAAAATAATCATTCTACAGTACATGTAGAAAAGTAAAGAATCTCATTGTTCATAGGAGAACTTTGGACTAGCACCTTGGTCTGCTTTGGAAAAGTGCCATTGCCTAAAAAGTTTATCAATAAGTGTTTGCACTCAGAAATCAACAAAATAATAGATCATTAGAGATTGATATATTGTTGGAATATATTTATTTTTGACCAATGGCAAATTAGTTGTGAATTACACAAATTTTGCAGTGGTAGAATAAATATTTACAAGCACAAATAATATAACAGTGTAACAATGTGATGACATTTCTCTCTGTATATTACATTTTAGTACTGAAGCCTGACTTGAAATAAATTTGTGTTAACAATCTGCCTTTATCTTTCTTAAATCTGATTCTGAATATCCCTTGTATGTGATACAGATGAAATAAAGCATTGTTGTACAACTATTTAGTGGGGGAGATACGTTTTGTATACATCATTACCATCAAGAATATTAGGTAATTGATACTTATCCCTAATATAAGATATAAGATAAAATTGATATATAACCATATATTCTGGGTTATATATCTATGCAGATAATATTTCCCTCACTTCTGATATGTGGAGATTTTGCTTGCAAATAATTTTAGTAGCAGCTTACTAGTTTCATTTATTTTTTGTTTTTATAAACCTTTGAACTTTCTGAAGGTTACAGAAACAAATTAGGTTTCACTTTCCACATCTGGAAAGATGCTATGTTTTAAAAGATAGAAAATAGTGGTTCTTTGCTGTATTGGAGATTTCATCTGACTTTTTTACCTTTCTTCATTGAAAGGAAACTATACGTAGTGTAGAAGGAAGTTCAGATAAGCCAATAACCTGATATTTTCAGAGAAATATAATAAATAAAAACCAAAGATTCACACACATTTACAACTAAGCTTCATGCCAATATCTGGATATTTTGGAACACAATGATGCTTAGCTGACAGCAGCAGTTCTTTAATACTATTCAAAATAGAAATGTTCAAAATCATTTCTAATGACTAGGAAATGATGGATCACAAATAATAACATATCAACAAATTCTGGTTTATACAAGAATTATACAAGAGCCAGCATAAACAACATTGCATGAACTTTGGGGAGGCATTTTTTCTATACTGCCTGCTTGTATAGAAACCCAAATTAGTAGGAGATCATGTTAAAAGGCTCTGTAAAACCAAAATCAAGTTCTTGAGAAGAAAGGCAGTTCACATTAAATGAAAAGACATGAGGGTTATGCTATTTCAACACTACAACTCTCACAGCTGAATGCCAAAATCAATGTTAATTGTTTTTATTTCAGAACATGGACCTCCAATGAACATATCAATAATTAATAGAAAATTATTCTCATAATGCACAATAAAAAACCTTTAATATTAAAGAATTACTTAGTTAACCATATGTGAAATATGTAGTATATTCATTAACTGAATTATGCAGTTCTTAGTATCATTATTTTCTCTCTCATTGACATGGAATAAAACTTAATAATTGTTAGATTGTATTTATTTAATGTTAGAAACTTCTAATGTTTAAATACCCGTTTCAAAATGGGGCAAACCATAAATATAAACTACACTTTTTTAAAAAAATCAAGAAATAAGAGTTATACAATATAAATTAACTCCTAAAGATAAAATATAAATAGAACATACCAATCAATACTACAATATTTACATTATGCATATTGAAATGTTTTATTAAATAAAAATTAAACCTTGTAAGGTAAGATATCTAAATGAACACAAGAGTAACAACTAATAGTATAATAAAGACTTCTCACTCCAATTAGCCATCTTTAGAAGAAAAAAGCATTTCTTATAATTTTCTCAATAACACATTTTTACATAGCTGGCCAGGTTAATTATTACAATAAGTCCAAGAAATATTTCTGCTACATAAAGAATAAAAAAGACAGATGCAAAAAGCAGATTTTTAAAGGTTAATGTCTATATAAAAACACTGAATTAACATTCCTAGAGAAGTGGGTCAGCCTTTGTCCCAATTAGCGCCATATCCTACATGTATTATCTTTGCTTCCTAAAAAATAGAGAAGAATATAACATTAAGTGTTAAATCTTTTTATTAAATCCATAATAAATAGTCTATAAAATCCATAAACAATAGTCTAAGGATTCTTTTATTTGCTGGATCATTAAAGAATTATGTTTATTTTATCACAATCACTATTTGTTCTTGTTTTGCTTGTAATCAATAATTGTTTTGCTCTTAGTCTCAAGTAATTCACTACAGTTATTACTATTTTTTGAAAATTAATCTTGCTGGCTTTATACCTCAAAAGCCATTGTGCTATTCTTTAATTATAGAATAAATCATTATTTTCAGCCCAAATATATTCAGTAAGAGCTCTCTGAAAGGATAAAAAAAACCTTTACTTGAAATCTTGGCAACTCTGTTTTATTTTGAGAATATGTTATAGTGTTACACAGACTAATGGTCTAGAGCAATATAAAGCAGTTTTATATACTATGGCTTTTTAACTGTAAGCCAAAAGGCAGACATTCATAAGATACAACTTCCCACAATTGTAATTTCAAGCTTATATTGCTTATTTTATATGTAATATAACTATTAAAGATAAACCATAAAATGAGGTAATTACAATTCCTTATATATGGATTACAGCAGTGATGGGATTCAAATATGTGAACAATCGGTTCTCTATGTGGATGCCGCTTCCAGAAGTTCATTCTGGGCCTGGGCAACAAAAAATTAGCTACCAGTTCTGCCAAAGTGGTGTGAACTGGCTGAATCCCACCACTGGATTATAGTGGTGAATAGGCCAGCACAACATTGTAATCCATATATGATTATCAACTAAACCATGGCTTAATGTCTAATTCATATCATAGGGGAAAAAAGGCAAATGTGACTGGAATAATATTGCCTTTCCTAATCTTCTCTTGTTGCAATGTTTATCAATGTACAGTAGTAACATTTCAGCTACTTCTGCTTAACCTTTTTAAGACAGAAGCATAAGCAAATATTGAAGTTTGAAAGGTGTTTTATTCCATCATCACATAAGAGAAGAGAAATGTAAATAGATCAATCCCCTCCAAACCCCAATTAATTTAATCCAATATGTTTCTGAACTAAGGTAAGAAAAACTGGGAAGCTCTTTATTTCACGTCTTTTTATTTTTATTCAACACTACCTGATAAAAAATTCAGTTGAACTATAACAATTTCATTTCAGTCAATGTATTAGTTACCTGTAATAATTATATTCCCTTTGTAATTAAAAGCACAGGAAAATATCTCATCAGTGTGGCCTTCCAATATTTGAACGCACTGTCCCATCTTAGGCTCCCAAAGACGAGCTGTCTTATCTGAACTGGCTGTAAGAATACGACTTCCTTGAGGATTGAAACAGATCTTTAAAAAATGATAAAATGATATTTTTTAAAAATAGGAAAGTAGAATACTTTATTGTAGTTTGTCATCATTTCTACTCCTATTTTATGCATGCAGCCAGGCTTTAGGCTAGTAATGCTCTTTTAGCAAAAAGTTGATTTAGGGCACTGAAACAGAATGAAGTTTTCCATGGCAATTCACCAGAAATTGATTCACTGTCTTTCTTCTCAGAATGGTACTTATATTTATTTTGCAAAATTAGAAAAGTAAAAAATGTAGAAATAATTATGAACTAATATAAAATTAATTAGGTTGTAGACTTAATTATGAATTAATGGCTTAAAATGTATGTCAGAAAACATCAATTAGTGTTACCTAGATTGTTATGGTTGCATATCAAAGTAGCAATTCATATGTTGAAGATAGTTACATGTCAGACCCAATAAGTGGTAAAAATGAAAGAAGCAGATATTAGTTCTAGAAAAAAATGTGCAATATTCTGAATTAATATAATCTGTAGAAACAGCTACACAGTCAACAGTTAACAGTCTGTAGGTGACATGAATGGATGAATGAAAATGGGATGAGGCAGTGACAATGTCTCTTTGTTTTGAATATATAGCTTAAGCATGTCTATTAATGTATACCCAAGAAGGAAGGAATTTAAAAGCATGATCAGTTTGATAGCATACATTGCAAGATTCAAGAATAATTAAAAATTCTAAAGGTTGGTAGAAAGGCAGTTAACTGTATGTGCAAGCTGCTACATTACCTTCTAAATGGATGATGATGATGATGATGATGATGACAACTTATATATTACCTTTTACCTCATAGGATGCTCTATCTCAATAAAATGTGCAAATTATTAACTGATTATGCCTGATTTCTATTGTATTATGCCCACCTGACCTGATATTTTAATAACTAGACAACAATTTGAGTGCAGGAGAGCCATTGCCTCCTACTAAAGTTAAAGACACAAAGAAACAAAACTATATTTAGAATACAAAGAGAAAGAGAAAAAAAGCTTTCTTGGTCATATTCAAATAGAAAAATATTTTTATGAAAAATAAGCAGAACTAACAAAGTTTGAGCTAGAACAGCAGTATGGGAGATTTTGAAACAGGCAAACATTTTACCTTTGAAATTTCTCCTGAATGGCCTTCAAGTTTTGCAATACATTTTTTTGTTTCTGAATCATATACTCTTGCTGATCCTTTAGTAAAAAAGAAGAATTTAAATAGCTTAATTACATTTTGTTAAATATTAAAAAATTCAAATAAAATTCTGACAAAAATATAAATTATACACTGGATATGACTCCTTTCCTAAACATGTTTATTTGCAAATAATATCATTCAGTCTAGGGGAACTTACTTCATCTAAGTAATATGCAGAGTCTAGACCAGGGGTGTCAAACTGCCGGCCCGAGGGCCGGTTTCATCATACCAGAAGCCGCGCCCACCCCATTGCCAGCAATGGTGAAAAAGCTCCGATACATCGCGTGACGTCACGTGACATCGCGAGTTTGACATGCCTAGTCTAGACTCAAGAGAGTCCCCTGGTGCTCTCTAATCATTGAAAGGTACAAGTGGCAATGCAAACAAATAAAAAGTCTATAATTGCTTTAAAAGTGTGATTATAAGTGACTTGGAAGTTTCTGAACTCTTTTGCTGATGATAACATATGTATGATAACATATGTATTTAAATGTTATATTTATGAGAAATGCATTCCTTTGGGATTATTAGATAATTTAATAATTGAAAATGACATGACTATATGAATACCCCAACACTAAACTAAACCTAACAGTTACTGGTATTGTTATAGAAGTTTTTTATATGATTGAGCCTACACAAAAATCAAGCTGTCTTCAAAGAAATACCTTACCAAAATACCTCTAGTGCAAAATTTTCAGTGATCTCTACCTGCAGGCCAAAAATTTTAATCATTAAGGTGCAAAATAATTTTTTAGAGTTTTTGCTACTTCTAGGAATACCTTCTGATAGAATGTAAAACAGGAGTGAAAAACCATTTTACTTTTTAGAAATCCTCTTCCTGCTCTTTGACCAGACATTAAGTAATTTCACCTACCATCAGCTGAGGCACTTGCAATACGCTGGCCAGTATAATCAAAACAAACATCTAATACTTCATCATCATGGCCTGTTAAGGTTGCTACCCGCTTGCCTGTCAAAGCATTCCAAAGCTGCAATATGGAGAGAAAGCATTAAACAACCCATGCAAATAATTTCAGGCAATCAAAACATGATCTTTTTATATTAAACTGGACTTTCATTGCAAGTATAGCTAGCCTTTAATCTTTTTCTTTAAAGGAATATAGAGCTAGTATAAAACAGCAATGTAAATTAGACAGTTAGTGAAATCATTTTTAATGCAAGATGCTCTTTACAGAATTGTTAGGGCTAGATTTAGTTCACCAGATTTCAATATATAGTTATGTTTCTTTTCCAGCCAGGTTGATATGTAGTGTATTAGGCTTGTTGCTGTTCTTACGCAGTTGACATGTGCTCAGAAATCATTTAGTGTGGTATTTTTAAAGTTTAATCTTTGATCTAAAAGTGTGAAAATCACATTACTAAATGGCTGAACAAAAAGGTGACTGTCTAGTCTGCCAGTACTGTATAGTCAATATGATCATGCCTGTATCTTTAATATCTATATCCCGTATCTTATAACTGAAGCTATGGCTGAAACATACTATTCTCCAAAGTTCTAGGGCACCTGGCTCATATCTCTGATTGTCTTATTAGTGTCTAACAGCTTATATGCTGCTTCTGAACTATGATTTCTATAAAATTCTATACAGGAAGCAATATTCCATTGCTTGGATCTACATTTCAGAATCCCTGAAGAGAAACTAAAAAGGGTCAGACAAATCCAAAGAAGACATGGCCAACTAAATCTTTTTGCTGGATCAAATATTTTAGGTGAATAAATAAAACCTTTCCATATAAAAACTTATCATAACCTGCAATACACTATTGTACCATGCATGTTTTGTCCATAGATCCAGTGATGATCAGAGTACAATCCCAGTTGAACTGTGCGCTGCTTATTTCTGCACGATGTCCTATTAAAGTATGCATTCTCCTGATGGGAAAGAAAATAAATTTCAAGTTAAATGGTAGTTTAAATTGTTATATAAATATATTAATCACAGACATCCTTGGGGAAAAAAGTTAGACAAATGCTACAGATAGTGCTGCCCTTGATATGTTTATTTAATAAGTATCACAAAGTTTCAAAGATTCAAAAAGTTTTATTTGCTTCAAATACAGAAAACATTTAAGCAAAGAACAAGAGTGTTAACAGATATGAAAGATTTTGGTGTTTACAGAAGCATTTGGACATTAATTTATGCTTGTTAAACTAACTGACTAAATTACCAGATAATCCTAGATTATTTGGGCAAATTTTGGTTTGTTTTTGCCCTTTTCAGTTATTTTTTATCATGCATCTATATACACTGGAAAAATGAGAAACCAAATCAAAGCATGGATCACTGTTTTTACATCATACTATGCTGTAATGCAGTCAGAAATCCAACGTAATCTGA